AGTAGGGTAGAGGGCAGTCACTGTGTAAATTTATAACACAATATGTAGAATTCAAATACTTGGCACTAAAATGTCAAGATTTGGATCTGAATCCATCAACACCACTACTTCTTCAGTTGAAAAATGTAATTTTGGGGTTGGCGTCTGACAAATGAGTAAATGAGCCAGTAAAGTTGTTGTTTTTATCACTTACATAAACACGTATTACCTAACCCAAAATAAAACCTAAACAAAGCACCATGTGTCTGAATTCAACACTGATTTGTCTTCATGTGTGTCAGTCAATCAGTGTCATTGTCAAGGCTGTTACCAGCCTATGAGTCACAGGCGAGCATCGCTTAGGGCTCTTTATGACAGAACCTGTCGGTATGCTAACGATTAGCTGTCATGCCAAAGAGAAAGTCTGTTTTCAGAAGAGCTCCAGGAGGCTTACTCCTTCATGAAGTACCTGGCAACCAAAATGTTGTGTTCATGGAGTCCATAGTGTTGAATTGTGCTCTCGGTAGGTGTGCCATGCACTGAAATAATTGTCCCCCATCCTGATTAAATGCCTGTGGTGTGTCACCAGCGCATACAGGAGCACCTGCATAAATGGTTTGGGGGTTTGAAAATATGGTCACCCTATCCAGAGCTATGGAGGGCTGCAGAGTTGGGTGAACTCTGGGTTCATCATGACAATTGACCTGTTTCATATTACACATAGTCATTAGATCCATTGCTGATATAAAAAATATTGATTAGTGCAGCTTTAAATGGAGATGCTCCACTGGAAGAGTAGAGAGTAATATAAATTCTACTATTTCAGTAATTTAGTCCAGCTCAGATTTAAATTGTAAATAGAAACAAGTCTCTGCTTAAGCTGAACAGCGGAGAGACAAAACTACAGTTACAATGTTAAACTGAAACCAATCTTGGAGCTGATCCATAGGCGGTGAATAATTCAACAACTTCAAGGCCACTGTGAAAACCTCCATGGCATATTTTACTGGGATATGTAGACATTTTATGATTCATAGCTGTAACGCCTACAGTCAAATAAAACTTAACTTAAATTTGGATGTTAAATCTCAAACATTCTACAGACCCATAGAGTCAGACACTAATTCAGTGTCAGTGAACCACCTACTAGAAGTGAAATTATCAATTCAAGACTTGATGCTGTGATTTCCTTCCATCCATCGTCAACTGCTTATCCCGCGTACAGGGTCGCAGGGGTTGTGATTTCCATTTTAGGCAAATTCACCACACCATAGACCGATCCATCCAACTCCAGGCAAAACATTTAGAGACATTAGAATTGCTTGTTCACTAACTTGTCACTGGAAACCCCAGGCCTCTTTGCCCTTTACTTGAACCTCTAGAGTGCTGCCAGCCGTGCCAGCTGTGGAGACAACTGAAAAACTTAATTTGTAACTTCATTTGAAGCCTTTAATTAGGTACCACAAGCACTTGTACAGGGAAAGTGTGACCGATTTACGATTTGTAAAGAAGTGTAAGCTAATGATAGCATGTGACCTGCGTTTAAAGGTGAAATTGGGTTAGCAAGGTCAACCTGAAGGGCCACTGGCTCATACTGACATGCACTGTGCATTGCAAATGCGGGGAAAAGCCAAACCATTCTGAAAACTTTCACATAGATATTCATAAGCTACAGTTTAAAGGGTAATTTTGGTACTTTTTATACCTAGGCCCTATTTTCACATATTTTGGGGTCAGAATGGCTACTAAAAAGCTCAGCAGGATTTATCTAATCTCATGCTACACACCATCACAAGCCATTTCAACTGCTATACTTTACCAGATTTTTTTTGTCAAACAAACAGGGCATTATGTTCGATCGATTGCTTAGTTCTTTTTTGTCAGCATCCATAATTTGCAGATACAAAATCCGAAAGTTTCTGACTCGGTATGGATTTATTTTCCCAAATTATTTAGGTTTGTTCTGAAAAGGCCTTTAATCTTAGTTCTTATTTGACAGCATTATTTGAATGCAGCCCCAGAACATTCACGGATTCCACCTTCTGTGTCTCATTTAGTCCAAGGAGTATTTAGGAACCTGCTGCAGGAATATGGTTACCTCTCTGTTGCTTCTGCTTTTTCCTCAGGGGGCCCTGTGTACCTTTCATGTGAGATCCTGGAGGTATAGTGGAGTAACCATCAGCTGTGTTAAGATGAGACTGTTCAGCTGTCTGGACTGGTAATCTTTCAAACTAATGACAGTTTTTTAGTATTTGCATCTATTGTGACCAACAAGAATTCCGGCTGACATTTCAGTGAACAACCAAAACTATTACTACATTAATTAATGGTAACTTTTTATATCAGTATTTGCATTGAAGAGAATGATCTCACAGGTGAGATTAAATTAAAGAAAAGCCTTACCTAAAGAGAGAATCTGAATTTCAAATAATACATTTTGCTCAATAATGAGCAAAACAATTTTTTTTTTCTCCCATGAGTCTTTAAATGAAGACACACATTTAGTCTGGAGTTGGTTGCGACTGTGCCATCCTGCTATTTGTGTTCCTTAATGACTTTCTAATTCCTCATCAGTGGGTAGCTAGCCTCCACAGCAGGCAGACAGAGAGCAGTGGCAGGGTGCCATCCAGGAACAGGTGCTCTTCCATGTTGTGCTTATGGTGTCCGTAGACCTCAGTTACATCCTTTAGTTGATTTGAAATTGGGAGCATTTCAGTGGGTTCATTGCTTTGCTCTGAGCTTAACCTTTTCTGCTTACACACTTGGCTAGCTTTGTTTTTTAACATGGTGGGAAAGTTAGCTGATTACAACAGTAAGCAGGATAAGCTACATTTATCTGCTACCACTTACACTATTAAAGTCAACCTTTGACCTGTCAAACATCTGATTTGAACCTGTCCATTGAAGACTTTATTAAATTTGACGCAATTTAAAGTCTTCAACAAGTATTTAGAGAACATTTACATCTGAACATCAGGCAAAATGTTATGTTAGGGGGAGAATATGAAAAATGTTTACCACAAAATGAATTACTCATCTTTAAATATATCTCTGCATGGAGCTTTGTACCAGACACCACCTGCAGTCGAGTCACATTACAATTCAGATTTCTCAAAGAACGTAGTTTTCTGGTTTTTTTCTGATGTTGAATTCCTTTTTTTAAATTTTTTTGCTGTGTTCATGTACTTTGGCTAATTTGGAAGATCTCCGCTGGTCCACACATCTTCCACCATCATGGAGATTTTGGTTGTGGCCCCAACCTTACTGATAATTGGCACAACAAATTTAGTTAAAATACTCCAAGATTGCAGTAACTGTATCTCCATTAGGCTCTTATTACCACCCTTGTTTTTATTGAGTAATCTTAACATAACCCTCTTCTTCCTTTGACTGAGCTAATATTTTCATTTCATGCTCATTAACTTCTGTTCTTTTACTCTCAAACAGTCATGTGTTTTTCCATTTGTTCTCCTTCACTACTCTTCAATGCTTTACACTATCTCACTGGTCATTATTGACAGATTGACATCTGGGTTAGCTAACTTTCTTACATCTTCCTGAATACTTTGCAGGCTACACAAAATCAATGTTTAGCCAGGTAGTACAATACAGTACATACTTATTTTTTTGCAACACTGAGACTCACAGAACTCCAAGGAGGCTGAAGACAAGGGACTAATCAAGATCCCACACAAAATTAGCATGAGAAAAAGCATTTGATCAGCTGTTGTCAGCTTTTTTCTTTTTGTCTTTTTATAGTGTTTTTGTTGATTTTTGCTGTCATGAAGTTTCTTAAGGTTATTAATTGAATATTACATGCAATATTGTGGTGGTAATTATATTTGTGTTGTTTAATGACAAATGAATTATACCGACATTACCCAGTAATGGTAACTAGAGCCCGACAGAAATTGGATTTTTAAGGCATTTACCAATATTGCTATTTGAGGATTTTAAAATAAGATATTCTGATATATCAACCAGTTTTTTTTTCTTTTCTTTTCAGAAACATAACTTTAACAACGTTTATTATGTGTAGTTATGAGACCTCACCAAGATAACATGACATAATGCAGTTTAAAAATAAACTGTTTTTTATTGTTAATAGTATTTTTAACAAAGGTACAGCTGATTATGTCAGGTACTTCCCATGGTGGATTTGTAGCATTAAATGTAAATGTTTGAATTTGTGTTATGTTGCCAACAGGGGAGTTGTAGAAAGCCCTCTGGTGGACAAACGATGCAACCACAACACTCATAACAGGATTGAATGACTCTCTGTTTCTTCTAAGATTGTCCTTATAAACACAGATACTGATTTATCTGCAACTTACTCACATCGGCCAATAATATCAGCACACAGATGCATCGGTTGGGCTCTAATGGTAAACCTTTATTAAAGCCTGCCTGAGGAAGTATCATATTTATAAGTTTAACGTTTTCAGTCAAAGAGGATGACACCCCCTGCTGTCCCCCCTCATATCAACCCTTGACCAGCTCAAATATTGTTGCACAATATGCCATGATGTGGAATGGGCTACTGATGAGCATTTAGATGATCAACTCTCTAGATTAAATTCCTCACAAAAAAAAATGCCCTCATAAATTAGCAGCATGAGCAGTAGTTAATATGCTGTTGTTTTAGGTGGCATTGTGTATCTAATTTAATAAAGTTTAGTGAACTTTGTTGTATAGTTATTGTTGTGACTGAAATGGTTAAACTGTATATAGGAATGTTTATGGATTAATATTGTTGTATATTGTATTGTCATTGAACTTTATTTTTAAATATAATGAAGTATACTCAGAAGCTGCTAGTAACCTCCTGCCTTTTCATGATGCTCTTACCCCCTACCTTCCCAAAAAGGACCACAATGGGAATAAGATGTTTGGCTTTATTGTGTTTATATCCTTTTGATGTTTTTTGTAGTTGGGGCGCCAACAGGCGCCAATTTTCATATTAGCAATCAATAAAGAAGTTAAATCAATCAACCAGTACAATACAAACACACACACACACACACACACACACACACACACACCAAGGGAACAAATAACAACACAAAACAATATTTGGTGATTGAGGATGACATTTTCGCTCTTGGTCAGGAGCGAGAAAGTGACAATGTTATCTTCAGGCACGTCAACCAATCAGTGATGCTCAACTTCGCCTGCTGTAAAAGACGCACGAAGGATCAGGGTTGTTAGACTTACAAATTCATGAAGGAGCATGTAACCCCCCCATTCTCTTGCTCCATAAGCAAGCAGAAGAAAAATTAACAAAGCAATGGCTGGTGATGGAGGTTGAAGTTTTGTGCACTTGGTCAGGAGTGGGAAAGTGAGGATGTAATCTTCAGGCTCGTCAACCAATCCGTGGCACTGGATCACTTGTGCCTGCTGTATGATATGTGAAGGAACAGGGTTGTAAGACTTACAGGTTCATGGAGTAGCACGTAACATCCCTTCTCTTAAAAGGTCATCGATGGGCACCATAAAGATGGTGTGTGAAAGTGATCAGCTACCACAATGTCATATTACATACAATTTAGAGGTGTAATTATCACAGTGCATTCCTTAACTACTCCATTTGTGTACTAAATACCAAATCTTCATTTTTGGTATGGACTGTGGTGTGTGCAGTGCTTTATTATGACCCTGATAATTAAAGTGGTCATCAAACTAGCTAACTAACTTCATATTTTCATTAAAATGATGCCATTTCCAGGAATTAAAAGTAATTCACAGCACCATCTGATAATCAGCAACATCAAATGCAGATAAAAAACAAAATCCTGATAGTTGGAAACCTTTTCCAAATGCAGTACACCAAATTCCTTCAAGTAAAAACTGACACAGATACACATCCCAGTAAGTCTGTCCGCCGTGACACCTCTCCTCCACCACGTTGGTCAGATCACTCAGAGCAACATAACAGTACACATCTACCGGCCTCCACTGATCTCACCCGGGAAGCAGACAACACTTTCATATCAACACCCTGTCATCTCACAATGTGGCATCTTCCCCTTTGAAGGTACAGTAGCATTGTTGCAGTTTCTCAGATGTGAAACTCTGGCTTTTATCATCCTGTTTTGGGCAAGGAGGAGAGGAGTGGGAGATGAAGGGAGCGATTTCCTTTTAACTTGGACCCACCAAAGTGGAAAGAAACAGAGTGTTGACAGGCGTGTGAAAGCAGTACTGCTGGGTCAACTGGGGAACTTCAGAGACCAGTTTAGAAGGCTTCATAAAGTCTCTCCGAAGAGGAGGCGTAATAGGCTCACTGGCAACAGGGCAAGTATCAATGCTCATGTACAAATCAGAAGTTAGCATTGAAGGCTAGTTTCTATGGATGACTGCATATGCTTTTACCATAGATTATTGTTCATTCAGATTTAACCACATAATGTAAGACTTGCTAATGTGCACAGAAGCCAGAGAGATTTGCTCCTTGTCCTGAATTACCAGCCAGCTGTAAACTACAAGTCCCATTCCACAGCAGGAGGATCACTCCTCACATTAGCCTTGGCATAGTGCCGACTGCAAATGTGAGATCAGTGGTCGTCAGGAGGCCCAGTTGGGACGGATCCTTTGTCACTCACGGCGACACATGTCATAAACTCATTGTCTTGCCATCAATCCGGGGACCTAACCACCTCCACAGCAGATGGAGGCCCAGCAGGATGACAGGGGGCCATGCCCTGAGTCTCTGCCCCACACAGAGTGCACGCGGCGGGAGAAAGAGGGGCAACAGCTATAGGGGAGCCCCATACACTGGACTGGACCTCCTGTGGATAGACCTCTGGATGAAGTCCTAATGTTGCCCATGATTAATTAGAGACAAATGTAAGTACGCCGATATCGCTCTGCAAGATAATAAACTTGCTTCTTATATGAACATTGAACTCACTGGATAACTATTTAAAAGTTTCAAATCACATATCGTCTCTGTGATCAGCTTCTCCTTAATGTCAGCAATTACACAGCATCACAACTGCATCTATCAGTAAATATATGAAGGTCTAAAACCACAGTGAGCATAAACATCCATCCAAATTTAGGAGTGAAAATAGCGATAAACATGGTTTACAAGGGATAAAGATGTCTTGCCTCGCGTGAATGGGGACATGTAATGATATTCATAAAGAGACCACCTACTGGGAGCACAGGAAAAACTGTTCCTAAGCAACAACATACACGCTCTTACAAGATACATCTTGGGAAATTTTGACCGGATTGGGATGCAAACAACTGAAAACCTTTAACTAGGCCATGTTATGAGTCTGCTCCCCATGGCTGAGTATCTGGGTGTCTCGTCTGGCACAAAATCCCCCTCCACTAATGATACATACTATATTTCAACAAAAAATAATGAAGTGACGAGTAACAAGCTTGTGGTGTGTTGCTAAACCAAATCTCTACCCTTCTCAGTAGTCCTTCAGTTCAAAATCAAGTCATATAATCAATGAAAATCGCTGAAAAATCCATCAAGTCTCAAGAAAATATACATTTTAAGTTCTTTTTTTGTTAAACTTGGACAAGACAGTTGTACAAGTTACTGTTCAATAGATTCATATTTCAAAGGTCAAGAACTGGTCAACCCATCCATCTAATTCCTGTTCTCCCTCCAGCACAATCAGTTGATGAGAAAACTCATGATAGCTCAGGTGCATTAAAGAAGTCTTGTGCCCATTTAATGTAATTAATTGGTGAGTCCTGTCCAAGAATTTGCATCGTGGTCTTACTGAATATGAGAAAATAAAAATAAAAATAAAGAAAAGTCAATGTGGAGGGTGGAAATCTAGTCAGAACCACATGAAAAATATGAAATTATTTTTTAGACAATGTAGCACTCTGTTTGTTGATTGTTATTTACATATGTTGTGGGGGACAGGTAAAGCTTGGCTCTATACACTTTAATGCACAAGTTCAATCTTGCTGTCTACGCTACAGTGTGTGTATTAGTGGTGTTAGATTGAGTGTGATTTTTTTTACAGTACTCAAATCTTAGGTATACTTGCTATTATCCTCTTCATCCAAAAAGGCCTAGAAACAATTACCGTCCAGTAATGAGTGATGTTTGTTTCTCCCTGTCATTAATTACAATTAATCAAAGACAGCAGATTACTTAAAAGCATCATTCTGCGTAGAGCTCACTGAGGTCAACTCACAAAACATTATCTTCCGGGAACAGCACTTCCAGGAATATGATCAAACAACAGCACGGGGTGGGAAATTGAAAAGAAAAAAAAAAAGCTTTTTAAAGCACAACATGATAGATCGTCCTCCCAAATACATCACAAAATTATTAATCAGCACCTCACTACTATTATCGGGTGCAAATCAACACATTAAGGTGAAAAATGCGAGCATTCAAAATCCCTCTGTGAAGACTCAACCATTTATAAAAAGATTACTGACGGTAGAGATGCTCCCTTAACTCTAATCTGCATCAGGTTTTGCTGTCACCAAATGACTAGTCTTTGAACAGTGTGCCTGTTTACCCATTCCCTTGCTAGGGTTGAAGAAGAGGCCAGCAGAAAGGCTTCATTGCCCTCTTGTGGTGAAAAGATAGAGACCATATTCCAGCTCTGTAACGTCGGCTGTACAATGGGCCTTCCATGAACCTCAGGATGAATACTGTATGTGAGGATGTCTGTCATTTGGGGGACATGACAAGGTAGGAGAGTGAAGAAGTGTGTGCAGCTAGAGGGAACAAAGGAGACATATCTATTCTTAATTCTGTGCTGTACCTGATAAGTCGAAATTTGATGGCGTGTTTCACAACAGCAGTCGGCTTGGTGGGGCCGGGAGGCAAGTCGGACAGTTCGACAGTGGGCGGACTCTGGGAGGGAAGGAACAGATAGTATCAAGTTTAATATTGTATGTTAACTTGACAGAACACCTTCGAAGATAGTTTAGCACACCAGGTGAAATTTGAACTTCTTGGTTGGCCTCTCAGGCTCAGAAGCGCCAGGTCTCTTGGTGCTTGGTGAGCTCACAATGGGAGACGGATGCTCACTGAGTGGTGCACCTGTAGAGGAGCAGGTGGCTTGTGTGCCTGGAATTAGTTCCTCATAAGCTTTGAACTTCTGAGGTGAACTATCTGAGTGGGGAGAACATGGTCTCTTTGTGGCCTGTGGAGTCATGGAGGGTAAAGCAGGTTTGCTGGACATTGATTTCTGTCACAGATGAGGGAAATGTTTTTTTAGGTATGTAAAGGAATAAATTTAGGAAATACACTCATTACATTTAGTGTTTGTTGAGTGGATTGATACCACTCCCATGTCTGTACGATAAATGTGAAGCTACAGCCAGCACAAAGAATGGAAACAGGGAAACAGCTTGCCAGGGTCTGTCCAAAATCTGTTCAAAAATGCTTAATGTTTACAAAAACGCATGTGTAAAAATGTCCAGTTGGGGATTTTACGTGGGGGTTATGTGCCGGACTACTTCTTGATTAGGAACAGTTACTTCCTGGAGTATCGTAATAACTGGGAGTTTGCCAGGCATACAGTGGAGACTTGTCATTTTTACACTTTGTACAGATTAAATACATGAGATAACAAGATGTAATTCACTGTAGGCTACAGACTTAAGAATGGTATCAATATTCTTGTCTAATTTGTGTCAAGAAAGCAAACAAGAGTATTTCCAAAATGTGAAAGAATTCCTTTAAAATGACGAGCGAAATAACATTTAACAGTTTTTCACAACAGAAATTTAAACAAATACATTTACTCATCAACAATACATGGAATGGTCTGGCATACCTTGTCAGCTTTGATCTTTCTGGCTGGCATCTCAGAGTGAGGCCAGTCTTTTCTCTTTGTGGCGGATTGGCCAGGTGGTAATGTGGCAGACATTTGGCGGCTCAGTGTGGCCTCTGGTTTTGGACTGAAAACCCTTTTGCATTCGCCATTAGGCATGCGCCAGCTAAGGTTTTCCCTCTTCACATGTGTGGCTGATATGGTCATCTCCTTTTCATACATCTCAGAGCTCGCTGCCTGGCTGTAGACTGCAACAGCACAAAATAAAAGTATGATTCACAGTGTCATGCAACATTGCTCCAATTCTACTGAATTTAAAAAAAGAAAAAAAAAGGGCTACTCGTACTAGTGTTAGTGAAGGATAGGAGGTCAGAGGTCAGGTTTATTTTCATGTTTTTAGACTCCTCCATATTAAGCCCAATCAGCCACATTGTGCTCATTCCCCCTCTGAAACAGATAGAAATATAGGCCAGTGAGTTGCCAAAGTAAAACACATCTAACTACCAAAATAACAAGCCAGTGCAAACTGAGAGTAAAAATATAGCATACGAACAAAAACTGTTAATAGAAATATGGTAACATATTAAAAATGTACATTATTCGCTTAAGAGCTAATACTCAAGAGAACTTGCCATAATTAAAATATAACTATAAAATCACATGTCCTTACTTGTCATTGACCTTCCTGGATCCAGGGAAGGACTGCAGATTAGCATGGGCCAGAGAAATGTGCACATTTCTCTCCAGAGTTCCAACCAGAAATCTGATTTTAGACTCCACCAGGCTAACCCTAACAGTATGAAAAAAACAACACAATTTTCAGAAACAGGAGACCACTGTAGTAGCTGGACATAAAAAATAAAATATTAAAACATAATTGTCTACAAAAATGTCTACATTGTTCTACTTAAACTTTTCTGAACTCTGTGTACTCGCCATTTATTATGCTGCTCCTCTGTTGCTGAAGTTGCTTGCAGCAGAACATAATACCTTGAAACATAAGAGACAGAACAATGGCAACAGACGTCACAGCATTGTGCCTTTGCACACAGCCTGGAATCTTATGCTTTAATCATATTTCCTGTTTTACCAATAGTCATAGATGAAGGAATTTCTGATCAATATATACTTAAAGCAGGCCAAGCTACAGCACAATGAGTACCAGTATGAAACAAAGATGGATACTATTCGTAATTGCATCATAATACTTTTTAAACATAACAAATCAAATTATTTTAAAATTTTTTAGACTTCCAGTTGCTAAAGAGTTGTGTAATCCAAGAAAATGAGTTTCAGTCCAAATTTGGCAAAATAATAAAGCACATCAGAGCACATGGCAGATTTATTCAGGTCAATAAAATAAATTGTAAATAAACTCCAGACTGGTCCAGGAACAACATCTTTAAGTCAGACAGCACATACTAAGAGCTAAAAACCTGATTAAAATATCCAACCGACTGACTTCTTAAATCACTTGAACAGGTCCATATTCTGAATTAACAGTAAATAGTAAAGCCTGGTCTGCAAATCCATAAGAAAATCACAAACCAACTATAAAATTTAGGTACAAATTTAAGTCCATTGGGGAAATATGTAAATCCACACAGAGACAAACAGATGATCCACTTCTTAAATTACTTGAACAAACTTCTGTCTACATTTTCGGTCAGCAACAGCTACAAAACCCAGTCTGCACATTCATTAAAAACCTTGGCATTCAACAATCAAAATCAGGTACAAATTGAAGCCAATAAAAATAAATAACAGCAAAAATAGCTTTAGTGCATTCATTACACAATAGGCATTCAAGAATTCACGTTTGGTACAAAATATGGTCAATTTACACAACAAACCTATATCAGTATTATACCAGAGTTTGCTTTAAGTCGCTCACATTAAGCATAAATCACAAAATAAACTAAAATACCAATTCACACACTATTAATCACAATAAAAACAAATAAATTCATGTCAGTAAGACAATACAGTATATAGTACAAAATGTATACAAAACCATTTGCTTTTGATAAAAAAAATAGGGTACAGGAATCAGAATTTTTTCTCAACACGTTTTATCAGGAAAACAAGTATATGATAAAAATATCATAATGATAAAGTATTGTAAAAAAGACTGGTTGGAAAATTTAGAAAGTGGTGTGTACGCGAGTGTGTTTTGTATATCCTCATTTTCATCTTTGAGCAGCTTAATACATACTTGTACTTTCCAAAAAAGTCTGGTGTTTCAAATAGTTTGGACCAGTCTGCTTTTTTCTGCTGTATTTCTTCAGTGATGACATGGCCTGCGAATGAAGCAGGATGCACTTGTTAAAGTCTAAGTAAAACAAAATCCCAGCTTTGTTTACAGAATAGAATCATTGTTGTGTTCTTGAAGTTTGCGTTTAACATGGTTTGGCTAAATTTTGGACAACTTCATCCAAAATGATGTTGGAATGCCCATTCCTGAACCGACTGATATTGCATTAGAGAAAAAAGGAAAGTTCTGAGATTGTGTTAAATCAACTTTGTTACAGTAAAGTTAACTGGCCCACGATGCGGGTAGTGCACTGTGAGGATTTGGTGGATTTCAGCAGAGCAACTACACACCCTGTTGGATCTCTTCCGTTATGATGGCTAAGGTGGAGGTAGACATGTTGAATGTGGTGTTCTGCTGTGGGTATGCTGGGGTGATAATGGGCATTAGGTGGCAGCGGTCTCTTCGATTAACCTAGAAATGCACAACACCACAACATATTCATCTAATTCTGACTTTTAACAGTTAATTGACTGACATGATTCTATATTTGTAGGGCAAAAGCCTGATAAAAATCCTGTAGAGGCCTTACCGTGGGATCCCAAATAGGAAGGTTGAAGTAGCGGTCCTCTACTCTCTTCAAGAGAATTGGGACTGGCCATGCCCTGACACAAAAAACAAGAAGTTCAGATCAACCAATCCCCATCTGCAACCTTTGTAAAGAATTCACATGCGTCTAGTGAAATATAATGAAAACATCTTAGTAATGATGTCAATTTGGCCCATCATTATCTAACGTAAAACCTGCCTCGTATGTTTCAAATGCTGTTTCAGTAGATTTTAAACAAACTGTAAATCAAAGGGTGTGGTCACAAATTGTGTCCCCCCCCAAAATCCACTTAAAATTTCACAACTGCCAATCCAATGATTAGGCCAAGTCTTCCAGAATGTAGCCATTATTTTACCCCTATAGTTTCTTTGGAAAAGTTGTGGCCTTTGAACTGAGAAAGGCTCGCCTTTAGAGAACAGCATCAAGTGAGGTTCTTTTTTCCCCTACCAATCACACAAAAGTTAACATTTCCCACAACAACAACACACAAAGCTTAAGAAATTGGTTATTGTAGTAAGTGCAAACCTATGTAGTCTGTCCATAGAGAGCAAGCTCAAATGGGCACAAGACAACAAGGCATTAACCAGACCCTCTCATGGTCAAGTAAGGTGACTCCCAGTTCAAACATCAAACCCAGTTTGATGTTTTCCCATTTAAGGACACCAGAAAAGGGACAACCCACCACATTGAGAAGACCTTGAAGAATTTGTTCACCAGCGTGGACACTGTGGCATTTGGGTACGCCTGACAAACTCTGGCTACCAGTATGGCCCACGATACACCGCCCAAGAAGCCCAGAATGCTGGAGTAAATATTACGGCCTGAAGAAAATTAAGAGGATGAGAAAAAAAGATCAAGACTCAAGTGCGCAGTGTTACCTAATGTTAACATTAGCCTGATGTAATTTGCTTTAGCCCACTGCCAATTGAGTTTATAAAATAAGTGTTATAAGATGTCTATGTAATATGTCTAATATGTACGTGTATATAATATCGGTCACCTCCATTTTATTTCATAATACTACCGCAACCTTTGAAACCTTTGAGAGACAGGAGCAGCTAAACGGCTAAGTAAACCTGTGCCTTGCTTATTTCTGCAAAATAGCCATTGGGCTGTGGTTGCCTGGTAGCAAATATAGACAAGCCAAAGCAAGTATCCTTGTCAGCAGGAGACACTGAAACTTGAGCCAAAAGTAAATAAAGAAACAATGGTGTCCAAAATGACTGACTTGTACAATACTAAACACTAAAAAGTCCATAGTGACAACTAAATTGAGATAGAAGTCGTCATTTTGCACTACTGACAGTTGTAGTGTTCACTTTACTGTAATTTAAATCTATTAAAAGTACTGTGTTGTGTGATTTTTAGCAAAAGTAACATACATGCTATGGCCGCTAATGTTTTATGACACTGTGTGAGTTTTTGAGTGCACAATATAGTGCATATATTTTACACTTATTGTTGGGAAATGCATACAATTTCAGGAAGTAGATATAGCGTCGTAACATTGGGTACTGATTGTGTAGGGGCCATGTTCAAAAGAATCATCCACCTATTTTGTTCCCTTGGGCGATTAGCAAGCCTAACTAGTTGTGAGTGTTGAACTCACGTTTGGCCCACAGCTTGATGGCTCTCAAAGCGAGCCTGAAATTAAAAATATTTGGCACAAGACTGAGGATCTCCTCTGTAACTCTGTAGCCTAGATAAAACAGAATAAGAAACAGATGAATATAGACACAGTCACAGTAAAAAGGTTCAACAACAAATGAACAAAATGGTACACTGTCATACTTCACAACGACATTCCTGGCGAGTACAGCTGCCAGGTACTAATACTGTAGGATTTCCAAGCGTGTTCTTTAATCTGATCCTTACCATTGAGACTCCTGATGCAGCGTTTATCTATGTCCTTCAACAAGATGTCATTAAGAAGGTCCAGATTCTCAGGAATGCTCTTCAGCTCCAACCGGGCAAAGACTAAGTCAATCTAGGAAATAACAGGAACACAAAAACAATGATTAATGCAAACAAAACTTCAGTTGAGGCATACTGCAGACAGCATAGAGTTTTTACTTTTTTCTCTAGCCAAATTACCTCAATCCCATAAAAGGACAGTTTGATGACAGGGACAAACGCCTCTTCAATGGCCTAAAGACAACAATACTGTCAGTCACTTAAAATAGGGAGAAAAATGTCCTTTGACTTGAACGCAGTGAATCACTCATAATGCTAACCTGTATGTCTTTGACCTCCACATGAGCCTTCAGCTTCTCAAAGAAGGATGTGAAGAAGTCTTTTCTCTCAAGAAATCTGGGTCCGACACAGAGGGCATCAATTTCAGCACCTGTCAAAACAGCCCAGATTTACATGAGAGGAAAGCCTATATTTAAATGTGTAACAATACCCTGAACTATTATCTTCACCATGTACTTTTAGAGGTCACCAACCTCTGAAAGACCCTCTGCTGTGTCCCTTGAATAAAAAGTGTAACTTGTTAAATGTATGACTAGCAAATGTATCACAACACAACTTTACATATACTAATGTAGAGTGAATGAACAAAGTTTGATCACAAAATGTAGCAACTATACTTAAAAGTCAAAACAAAGTCGGTAAGAGGCTGTGGTAGGGCCTTGTGGTGCTGTTTGTCTGACTCGCTGCACAAATAATTTGCAGATCTCAAAAATATGTAGTCTGTAATGTTTATTGATGAAAATATGCAACTTAATATAATGTGCAGCGATCAAACAAACTGCGGTCAACAAAAAATCAATCAAATCAACCTATACACAATTAACTCCAAATTTGCAATAAATCAGCTTATGACTCCTACACATATTAAAAAGCACATTAGTTAAAGTCCTGAGCCACTGTGCAATCCAAGCTTCCACAATCATGACCGGCTCTTACAGTCGAGGAAAGAAAATGGTAATTACCTTTTGAGTGAACTCCCAGACGATAGGAGCCAAATGGGAAGATCTTACCGCCGACGTTTTCTGTCATCGTTTCAGGTAAGTTCTAAAATCAAAAATAGTAATTATATTTATTGCATCATCTATGCAATAACATGTTTCCAGGATCATATCTGGAATTACTTTTGAAACAACAATGTAGATAGAAAAGATGTCTTACCATTCTTTTAGACATTTCTTTGAGCCACTCCTTATAAAGTGTCTCCAGTCGTTTGACAACCTTCTCTCTGATAAAACAAAGAACATTTCCAAATATTGTCATTTCTCTGAAGCAAAGGATGCTATAGCCCCTTCCACTCCTGGTCTACCACGTGCATTGACTTCATTAACTGAGGAAGTTGATGTTTAACTGGTTACACTGTTTGCAGTAATAACCAATCCAGCTCATAGGCCTCAACTGTGGCATAACATTGAAGACACTGAGTCACAAAAATAGGTCTTCCCCTCCAAGCTGAATTAATAACAATATGAAAACATGAATATGAAATTGAAATATGTCTATCCCACCTGTGATTCAGCTCCAAGTTGTCCTCAAATACACCATATGACTCCAGAGTGTCAATCACTTTTCTGGTCTGGATCAAGTCAGCCTCTTCGGGCAGATCCTGGCTGATAGGACCAGTGATCCCATACCACTTGGGGATGTCTGGGAATGGTGAAGTTTGGCTCTGAATTGGACTGAAAAGGCACATTTGCATGTTAGTGGACCAGTCATGACACATAAGTATATACATAAAGCTATATCAAGAAACCTTTTAGTTAATGAAAGGTGACTTGAGCCTCCCAATCTGAAATAAATTGCGTCAACTAGTACACAAGTCCAATCACAAGCTGTTATACCAGTGCAAAACAAAATCGCAAATTCTATGAGGACTGTGATGTGCTTGTAGAATTACCTGTTTTAACTTACCCAGATCTTTGAAAAGGTACGGGAAAAAACAACGCACACCATACTTACCAAGACATAGCGACATTAAGCACTTCTTTGTTTGTTTTGTGGTTTCCGAACAATAATGCTGCGTTATCCAGTCAGAAATAACTTATTTTCTCTCAGAAAAAATTAGTACAGTTCACACACTTACTGTGTGGCAACACACAGGCTCCTTGGATATTTGGAAGGAACGCCTTCCATTTCACTGTGTCGTCCTTTCACTCTAAGAATCGAATCAGAGAACGAAGGCACGTGAGCAGGACAAAAAGACGCGTGAGCCTGAAGTGCGTCGCGATCGATGTGTATTCGCACCGATTCATCTAAGAAATGCATAGATACAATCTCTCAATCAAACTACAATCCAGTGGAATGTTTCTGTCTATTCTTTTTGTAAAATATATTAATAAACATTAGTCCATTTGTTTTGGGACTACATTTCTATCAGCAATACCCCAGCTGACGCCTAAATAAAATACCGAAAATGAATTAGCAATAACTCCTCAACCACTTGGCCTAGATATGGTCTCCTTTGATAGGTCAGAAGCTAAGAAATGTGAATCCACTCTATGTATGTAAATGAACACGTTTATGTTACCATACAGAGTAAATGGAGACGCAATAAAGAAAAATATGAGATTTTTATCCTTGCCTGGTATAAAATCTGTATTTCAAAGGCAATCTCACCATCATAGCCATCCTCCTGCAGATTATAATGAAACTGATTATGTTCTACTACACCTTGACTGCAAGTGTAAATGTAAATTTGATGAAAATTAACTAAAAAACAACATTTAGGCTGATGATACATTTTATAAAGAAATACTCAGACAAGGTCGAGGTTTTGACACTATTTACTGTTTAGGTGATGACTTTTCCTTCAAAACACTATTTCCATACAACCACATTACAAATAACATAGAAATATTCATAAATACAATGGATATTGATCATTATTCCTCCCATGCTTTACAGGCCGGTAAGTTGAAAACAGAAGCCCAGGGCATTCATTTGACAATTGTAGGTCTCTGTAGCCACCACAACACAAGTCAGCCACCAGACGGCGATGAAGACCGTGTGTTGGAATCCAACACTGTAGATAGATAGATAGATAGTGGCTTGCATACTATTTTACCATTTTCTTTGAGGTTAATGCAGCAATTCAGACACAATGCTCTTTGTGACAGAACAATCATGTTAAATGAAGTGGCTCCATTTTAAACTTCTGAAACCACTAGTTTACCAACTCTAAACTGCAGATAATTTTTTTAAAATATAAAAACTTTAAAAAAGAAAGAAAACAGGTGTATAATTACACCAGCCAGAAAATGTAACTATTTACCTCAATCCAATTTACTGATTGAAGTAAAAAATAATATAAGGACCACTCTTAATGTACTGTGCTTCCTCTGGTGGTTTTGAAATAAAGAGATGATAAGTCATGCCCAAGTTTGTCTATGTTTTCGCAATTGTCCCTAAAAGAATGATAGATATTCAGACATGTTATGGATTTGGTTTGACCAGTGAGTTGGTGAAAAGAGTTACCCTTACATCTGCAAAAACCCTAAATATACAGCTCTAATTGATTAGTATGATTAACTTTGGACATCTGTGGTATATGATTTTGAGAGTAGTTTCCCTTAAACCACCAAAATGTATGCTAATATATGATAGTTGATGCAATTATATTTACACTAGTTATTATTGCTGTAATACTCTCTTTTCAACCTTAAAACCTTTGCAATATGAGGATGTAAAACACATACTGTATTATGTGGCATTGGTTTTCATAGATTTTGGAATAAATAATGTTTCTTTCCCAACTCCTTTTTACCAAAATAAGCAGGACGCAATGTACAGAAATGCTTTGCTGATTCAATCTCTCTCTGGTACGAGAGACCATATACTAATCTGACTTGAGGATCACAAAAAATTAGGCCTGTGCAATCTTGTTGAGTTTTCTTATTTTATAAATTTTATACAGTTTGTTGTTGTTTCTTTGCTCTTGTTCCTGCGTTTTCTGAAATATTTTGTGTATTTTGCATTGCAAGGCCACCATACACAGTCCAAATAGCGTCATAATCTCACAATGTTGGTCACTTGATTCGCGTCAAATTGTGTGTTCAAATAAAACTTTGGTCATTCTTATTTTGTATTGCTAATATCGGCGAATTACCTGTACAGCTTGTTTTAACACTACACCGCAGATCGGAGCCAGTGAATAAGGCAAATGTCCTACTACTTGTTGCTGTTGACGATAAAAAAAACCCAACGAAAACGACATTTCCAGGCAGCGTTCACTTCCACAGAGAGACCTGAACGCAGCATACTGAGCAATGAATTGAGGGTTGAGAAGGACGATGAAAACAAAAATGGACATCGATCGAAAATAGCCCAGTAAGACTGAAAATGCATTGTGTCGTGTAAAAGAATTGGCACCGCTAATATTTTTTGACAATATAACGAGGGGAAAACGTATATTCGCTAAAAAAAAACCCTATCGTTTCGAGCAATGACTGGTAGCTCGGTAGCTTAGTTAGCCTCGGTAGCTTAGAAACGTATGCTAGCGTTATTAGCTGTGTGTAACATTAACGGTACGACATTGACCAGTAAGACTAACATAATAGGAATATTACCTAGCAGTTGCTGATTTAAATAGCGTTAAACGAAAGCATCTGATGAACGGTCTGTGACGCTTGCAGCAGTTACTTCCCACCCCCTAACGTTACCCTGCGCTACTACTAGATCTCTCGGTCAGCTGTTGTTGTTATTATGCTCTGTTACCGAAATCAAACAGCAGCCATTTTTATCTCGCAGAACAGAGGTTCAGTTTGACGCGTTGTCAGAAATTAAATGCAAGCAGACGTGCAACAATTTTATCTGCGCAAGCGGTACAGCGAATACTGGAAACGAGCTAGCACTGTGTTGTAACTGTAGGAAAATTGTACATAGTTTGGCCATGGTTGTATTTTCTTTAACGGCCTCAGGTTGTCGCTGTTATGTGTTGACTTGCATCTAAGCAAGTCGCTACGGTTGAACTGTCCTGTGGAAGAATAGAATTACATCTAGAAGTTACTTAGTTTATGTGTGGAGCCTCCAGTTAAAGATATCTGCAGTTCAAGTTTGACTATCTGAAATGTGAATTCCAGATACCTCCATTGTTATAAATCATGATTTTAATGAAAGATATATTTATTTCCCTAATTAGTGTCAAGAGAAACCAAAACTATCTTTGGAGAGCTAAAATAAACATTTAACTACGAAATTAAGATTAAGTTATTACCTCTTATTACCTATAAATGCAATTTTAAATATCTAGAACTGGTATTATGGCTACCCAAAACTAAGAAAGACATGTAGTCACAGTCCCTCTAAAGATATTTACAATATGATCAATCATGTGGTGTCCTCTTTGTGCCATCCATTAACGTGCAGGCTGTTTGGGTGTCACAAAAATAATAGACTAAATGAATGATGACAACATTTAGGAGAGCAGTTAAGCAAGACGGGGATTTGTTGTTAGGTCAGGTCAGAGGACATAGTATAGTTGTTTCTGTTTACAAGCACATCAGCTCGCTTAGTAATGTGTGAGTTGCAACTCCAGCCACAGACCCAGAACCAGTTTAAAAGTGTCTTTGGTTTGCTGAGACATGTCTTTTAAAGTATCCCAGAATACTGTAGCTTTGCCACTGTGTCAGTGCAACACGAGGGTGCACCATGTTAAACTGAGAAGTTGTCCGGGTTGGCTGGATACTCATATCACTCCTAATTGTGTTTGTCTGATTGCATAACAGGCTGTCTATGTCAGACCCCTGACTGGCACTTGACAAAGAACCCAGAAGAGAGGGTTAAAGTGAGAGGCCAGAATTCAGAACCATGGAGGCTCGCTTTGGTAATATTGTGTTCAGCTCCAAGTTTGACTCAGGGAACCTGGCACGTGTGGAGAAGGTGGATAAGGGCAGCTCCAGCCCTCCTACCGATATAGCTCCCAGTGGGAGTGCCCCCTCAGGGTCAAACTGTACCCCTGACTATGAGTTCAATGTGTGGACGCAGCCAGACTGCGCTGGCACAGAACACGAGAATGGAAACAGGTAACAAATCTTCAAAAAGCATTTTGGTTTTCACATAAGAGGGCAGCAAAAAGCATGAGCAATGCATCTGCACACAACCCGCTACACTGAGCTACATTACTTATCCCAAATTGTGTTTTTGTGTTTCAGATCATGGTTTTACTTCAGTGTGCGGGGTGCAGCACCTGGAAAGATACTGAAGATCAATGTGATGAACATGAACAACCAGAGGAAGCTCTACAGCCAGGGCATGGCTCCTCTCGTACGCACTTTACCTGGCAAGAACCGGTGGGAAAGGATCCGGGACAGACCCACATCTGAGGTATATATGCATGCTCGGAGGCTGCCAAGGAGAGGATGTGGGCATCAGGAACCAGCAAGGCAGAGTAATGTCTTTCTAATAATTTGTCGCTTCTTCCCTTCCTCTGTCGCTTACCAGATTGTAGATAACCAGTTCATCTTGTCATTCACCCACCGGCTGCTGGAGGTGCGAGGGGCGACCACTTATTTCTCCTTCTGCTACCCGTTCTCTTACGGTGAGTGCCAGGAGATGCTGCAGCAGTTGGACGAGAGCTATCCCAATGCTGCTCAACTCAATCCGAGCAGGTAAAACACAACACACACACAGACGCCTCAAACACATACACACACAATACTATTTTATTAGTAATTAGTAATTGACTGTTTTTCCCCTTTCCCCTCTAATTTGTACAATTTCTGACTTTCTCTTCCATCAATCTCCATCCTCGACTGCTCTCACTGTCAGTGCACCGGACAGTGTGTATTACCATAGGGAGTTGCTGTGCGACTCTCTAGATGGAAATAGGGTAGACCTGCTCACTGTGACCAACTGCATCGGGATGCAAGAGGAGAGAGAAGCCCGTCTCCCTAAGCTGTTTCCCGACACCAAGACTCCAAGACCACACCGCTTCTCTGGCAAAAGGGTATCACTCAATCAAACATAAACCCACAACCAAAATTGTCTTTAGTAATGTGACACCTTTAATGGCCTTGAATGTCTCAGCACCTTGAGGCTGATTATGGAATCTTTGAATAATGGCAAAGCAGTGAAGCTGACTGATGGCTCTTGTGTGTCTGCATGTGTTTGCAGGTGTTTTTCCTTAGCAGCCGAGTACACCCCGGGGAGACTCCCTCATCCTTTGTATTTAACGGTTTCCTCAACTTTATCCTGAGAAAAGATGACCCTCGTGCCCACGCGCTTCGAAACATGTTTGTGTTCAAGCTCATTCCCATGCTCAACCCGGACGGGGTTGTTCGTGGGCACTACAGGTAGGAATCGCACATTTGGATGTGAAATTGCAGTCATTGCCTCACAACAAGAGGCAATGACTGAATGACAAGATGCTTTAGGATCTCGGCACAGCGTCGACACTTCTGGTATATGAACGGCCCATTTTAGCATTTTGAGGAGAAACACAGAGAGAGTTATTATCTACTCCGTTACAAGACACGGACACAGTGGATATTTTACAAGCACCAACCAGGTAAAGCAACAGCGAACACACCAATGCAGATGTCATTCAGTACCACATTGGTTTAAAACGTTCCGATAGGCTTCGTCTTTAACAAGCTTCCTCCACACACGGTGCTCCTGCGACTGAGAACAAAATAGCGGGTGGAAAAATCCTAAAGATGACTTCTGTGTGTTTTTTGGCGACTTTATAAAACATAGCCTACAGCAGAGAAAGAGAAAGAGCTGGGGCTGTGTTGGCAGCAGAGGTGTGCATGGCTGGGGAAAAGAGAACTGAAGGGAATGGGAGCCGATTCAAGTAGGCTAGTGAGTAAACACTAAAATAAGGTGGAGAATGAATGAATTATAATTAAAATGGTTAAATAAGAAAAAACGTAGGCTACTTAAAATAGAAGTTTACCCTGCTAGCCCCAACACGTTAGCCAATCACTGATCTTCTCTTTATCTAAAGGGCTTCTGCTGGCTCAACTATGTTAAAAGGTGTTTTTTGAACTAATCGGTCTCTCTTTTGCAGGACTGATTCCAGGGGTGTGAACTTGAATAGGCAGTACCTGAACCCCAGCCCTGAGCTGCATCCTTCCATCTATGCAGCCAAAGCACTGTTGCTCTACCACCACAAACACAACCGCCTGCATAATACACAGTCCAGCACTCACTGTAACAGCCTCACACACACACAGACCGCTAACCTTAACATCAAAGCCACCAGTCAGCAACAATCTCCTCCCTTCACTGCCCTTGAAGTCAGCTTGAACCAACGAAATGCAGAGAAGGACGCAAATCCCGCGCAGCCAGAGGTTCCCATGGTCACAGAGGAAAACGTCTGGGTCAACACAGAGGGGGGGAGGGGGGACCTGAACAGCTCAGAGACTGCAGCTCCAGTTACTCTAGAGGTAACTGTACCACAGGTGGAGGAACAAGAATCAATTCCACCCCAGGAGGGCGGTGTGGCATATTATGTGGACTTACATGGCCACGCCTCTAAACGGGGATGCTTCATGTACGGAAATAACCTTCCTGACGAAAGCCAGCAGGTGAAAATGATGATTAAAATAACTCACCCTGCCTATGCAGTCTTTTTGGAATATTGTCAAATTACATTTAGTTGTCATTGTTTGTTTTTTTAGCAAAGAGTTTATTTCATTTCAGTAAGAATAATAGTTGTTTTGATTTGTATCATTGACACATCTTTTTTTATCCCTATACGGCAGCCAGAGCAGATGGGGTACCAATGCTTGATATTACAAAGGTCTTAACTCCTGTGCACTTTGCTTCCTCTCTCTGCAGGTAGAGAACATGCTGTATCCGAGGCTGATCGCTGTGAATTCCGCCCACTTTGATTTCCTGGGCTGTAACTTCTCCGAGAAAAACATGTATGCTCGAGACAAGAGAGATGGCCAGTCTAAAGAAGGCAGTGGGCGGGTGGCCATTCACAAGGCCATAGGGCTGCTTCACAGGTCCGATTCAGCGTAGTCCACTCAAATAGCACATGGCAACTTTCTTATCTGTTTTGGAGAGTCACAAGTAGGCTTTCCTGAAATGAAGAGAAAAGTGATTATCCCACTGTTGGTCAGGTGTTTTTCATGGTGCTTTTACCCATGTTTAAATTTGTCAAAATGTTTACATGGAAAAACATGCAAAACAACTGCTGTAGTAATATTTAAATGTGCTGTAATGATATTTTCTTTCTCAATATACATCTCAATATATCAATAGATATCAACTCATATATTTTTTATATCTAAGCTGTAAATGTGTATATATATTTAACATATTTCTGTTATTGGGTCCCCACCAGCTACACTTTGGAGTGCAACTACAACACAGGAAAAACCATGAACACCATCCCACCTGCTTGCCATGACAATGGACGGGCAACCCCACCTCCACCGCCGTCATTCCCTCCAAAATACACTCCAGAAATATTTGAACAGGTGGGAAAACAAGAATGGTTTCTGTACAAGTATTCATTCTCGCTCAGAGAGGAATGTGCTTCTTTTGATTAAGGAGTATTTTTTGCAGTGTTAATGGTTTTGATATCTTCAAAACAAATACACATATTATATATATATATTTTTTTATTATATATTTTTTTATTATATATATATATATATATATATATATATATATATATATATATATATATAAAAGATAAGGCACTTCTCAAAGTAAACGCAGTTGATGTTGTGCATCAGGTGGGACGTGCAGTTGCTGTTGCAGCCCTGGATATGGCAGAGTGTAACCCCTGGCCTCGGCTGGTGCTGTCTGAGCACAGCTGCCTTATGAACCTTCGAGCTTGGATCCTCAAGCACGTCCGCAACACCAAAGGCCTGAACACGCACATCCACGCTCAACCTCCACTAAGAATACACCACAATGGCAGCAAGGTGTCGCCGCCAAAGAGCTTTAACAAGTGAGTTTACACACAACTCTTTATTAAACCCCCAAATATTTCAGTTCCCTTAGTTTATCTGTCATTATGTAACATTGCGGTTATGGGTTTCTGCTTTTGCCTCGTTTTTCCAAGCAGCTGTCTGTCGGGCCCAGCGTCGGAGAATACCTTCAGTCGCGTTCGCTGCAACAGCCACAGTAGCAGCAGCCAGACACCCTCCCCAAAGATGCACAGCTCCCCGAGCTTTACTTTTGGCTGCCCCCCACCCAGAACTCACTCACAGCACAACAGCACGCACACCAGCGGACGTGGAGGCAGCAAGACACTCGGCCCGGTTAGGGGTAAGTTGATCTCTCAACCATCTGCTTGTGTTTGCTGGCTGGCATTTTCTATCACCTCTGCCTGGGTGTAGCTCCACTCTTCTCTTTTTCCTCTCTAAATATCACATATTCTGTCATCTAGTCTCTCTCTTTCCTGCTAGCATCCTCGCTTTTTCTTGTTGGAGTTATTAAGAAAGGCTGATGGACGGTTGACGTGTCTGTGTAACGGTTAGCTTCAGGTTTGTTGTGATTGTGATGTAAAATTGCTCACAGGGTTGGGATAAGCTTGATTTTAGAAACATGAATGAATGGATACATTTCCTGGATGTCTGTGGCTTGGAATGTGAGCATGACCCCTGCATTACCTTGGCATGACCCTGGCATGACCCCACCTGCTGCTGCTGTCTGTGCTTGCATTTTGTCACCTCTGAAGATTAGTTTTACCCAGACTGGGGATAAAACCCCATGAGCTCTGTTGTTCTAAGGCCCCAAGACCAAATTGACTATTTGGGAAATAAAAAAAATCTTGAAACACACTTACAGCCACTTGTCAACTTAGAGCCAGTTTTGCATATCATCATACATCTCGTCAATGGGCTTTCTCAGAGCATCTAAACATCTGTCTTGGTACATGGCTCTAGTCAGGGCAGTTTCAGCACACAGTTCCCCGCATGTCTCTGAGCTTGTGCGCGTGTGTGTGTATGTGTCTCCCTCTCCTTAGACCCTAAGCCTCAAGAGAAGAGACGCCCCCCCCACCACCGCTCCATCCTACGGTCTCCTAGCAACAGTCACACACCCTCCCGCCCCCCACTCTCACCCCCTTCCTCCTCTTCCTCCTCGTCTTCCTCGGTGTGTGCGGCGGGCTCCTGTCCCCTCCCGGCCTCCGTCAGTATGACAGGTCTGTACTCCCTCCAGACCCCGAGCCTCTCCACCTTGTTCCCCTCTCTGCAGGCTCTGCCCCGCCCCGGTCTGCTCTCCAAACTGAGCCCCCTGCTTCTTCAGAGCCTACCGCCGGCCTCCAGCACTCCCTCTGGTCCCACAAATGACTGAATCTAATCTAACCTAACCTATGAGAGCTTGGGCATAGGTGTGGGTGGGTAGACAGAATGAGTGTATAGTCTTAAAATGAAAAACAAGCAGTGTTTTAAGTTATATCAAGAGACTGTCTTTACAGAATCCTATACCTGTCTGGTACCTATGTAGGTCAAAATAAGTGCAAATCACTGTTTGATCTGGGTTGTGTGTCTGTGTGTGTGTGTGTGTGCGTCTGAAACATCATTGGTGCTAGCTCTTCTATGTTTCCCTACTGCACATATCTGTGAAATTACATGTATCTACAGTTTTAGCACCTTAGGATGAATAATACACAAGAGTGCCAAGTGTTCCTCGAATCTCAGTCATGATTGAAATATGTTGAAAAATGTTTTTCATTTTATTACCAATCAAACTGAGCATTGCTTATGACACTGTCCTCTGGCACAGTACTTGTGGATGTCCTTTAGTCAACAAAGCAGGCCAGTGTGCGAATGTGTATAGTAAAGTTGTTGGCTAGATAATCTCCATTGTCCCCTAGGACAGAATATATAGTATATATACTAATGGATTACATTACATTGAGCAAGTCTTCTTTTCAGTCTGTATACAAGTAATAAGCTGAGAAGAATTAACCATGTTACCAAGATTGTCAATTTTAAGACTTTCTTCTTTTCCCATAGTTACCATTAAGTTTTATTAGTAGCTGTTCATGATCAGCTACAGTATGAATGAGATACTTTAGCTTTTGCCATTTTGCACTTTCAATTTTTAAGTATTTATTGTTTTTTTGTTTGTTTTTGTTGAGAAATTGGGTTTGCAGAATTAGACTGAACATAGTGTGGCTTTTGTTTCTGTCAAATCTTGTAAGGCATTTAATGATCTTCTGTTTCTTTATTCAATGTATTTGTATTTCGCTCTGTAATGTAACTGTAGCAGTGCAAGCCGCAGGCTGATCACACCGTCCACTTGTAGTCACATTTGGAGTTTGTTCAGAGTAGGACTGAGCATTCTGTAGATTACATTTCATTTCTAGTGACTGAAAATCCCATTTAAAAGGACTGTGGTTTAATGTGTATGTACAGCTGTGATTTATTTCTTTTATAGTTATGAAACCTCTATCATTCCGGTGTCAGTCCAGTGTTGGTCTTGACATTATGATGTTCACAGTATAGCCTACTGCCAGAAACCTCATGGGGATCATCACTGGTTTAAATCCTCATAGATGGTGAAACCTTGAAAGTAGGGCTGGACAATACGGCCAAAAATAATATCACAATAAAAAGTTTCATATCTTTCGTTATCGATAATTATCATGATAAGTATCAAATTGTTATTTATTTCGGGTTTAAATACAGATTTTTGCTGTGAAAGTTGAAGAAACCTGCTTAATTGTGGTGTAAACTCTTCTTTATGGTCAATACTTGAGGCTAAACAGTGGATAAATTCACAAATCTGAGGTAGAACATTCAAAAAAATTGTGATAAAATCTTTGTCAACAAATATGTATGAGTAAAATTAAGTAAAAGCTTTTTTCGGTCCTTTTTCTTCAACAAAATAAACATCTTCTATCCTATCTAATCCTAATTAGTAGTGTATGATTCAAGTGAATAAAATCAAACATTTATTGAATATTTATTGAACATTTGTTATATTGTTATTGGAAAAAAAATCATATTGCAACAGTTATTGTTTTATTGTCCAGCCCTACTTGAAAGTTTCTTTGGGATAAAACCAGTTGCTTTATTAAGCTGTTTGCCAACAAGCAATATCATATAAAAACGCTTTGGTTGATTCCATGTAACAGCAGTTTGACTAAGTCAAAGTGTGTTATAATTTTCTAAGATTCCAATATTGATTTTGGTGTAAATAAATTGTAGAGTTTTTAAAATTTTATTACGTTTCATCAAACTGGTGAAGAAAACGCTGATCATTATTTATTCAAGCATATTTGAGTGTTTCCTTGTGGAAATTAGTCGATGGTCAAAATTAATATATTTTGTGGTTAGCAGAGATAAGAAATGATGTTGTTGTCTTAGTCTTTATGTAAGCCTCATAGATCAGTTGTGGAATTATAGTATTTTGTCTGTAATTCAGTTTTGTGTGCCGTCATCCGAGTACTTGATGATGGTCTGTGTTTTAGGACCAGCCATTTTAGATGCACTGTAGATGTAGAGGTAGAGCCTGTTAGACCTAGAGAGGTTTCTATAAGGGATGGGTATTTCAAGCAAAAATACAACTACTATTCAATAGTATTTGGTTAGTATCTGGTTTAACTTGGACTAATTTAGACTGGCTCGTAGCTGGTAATGTATAACCAGACTGATCTCCACACTTTGTTTTAGCGCTGGAGAGAGTAGTAAAGTACGTAGCTGGTAACTAGCGGTCCGAAGGATGGTTGCAAGACATTGTGATGGTGGTCATACTGTACACAGTCTTTATTTCCTCTGCAGCTGCGAACACAGTACGCAAACTTAACACTGCATCTAGCCCATCTCACAGCGCTGTAGCCGAACTAAACGTTGTAACGACTATTCGTAAACCGTGACCTATCCCTAATTTTAATGAGCAGCAGATAAACCAGACCATTCATCGAATGGATCGAAAAGCAGTCAGAATATCTAGCCTTGACTCGCTGTAGCCGTTGTCTGTTCCAGTGCTGTATTTATGGTGTGCCTTGCTCTGGTGTCTGTTGTAAGCAGTAGGTTTTGGAGGCTCCGCTTATTTTTTTACTAGGACTCTGATAGGTAATTCATCCTGTCTCCTCCTGCAAGATAGGGTAACCCCTAAACCTAACCCACTTATTTATTATTTAATGGCTTTCTGAGTATACAGGCCTTAAACACTGTATGGTTAAATATATCTATGTATCTATCAATATATACACCGATCAGCCGTAACATTATGACCACTGACAAGTGAAGTGATTAACACTGAATGCAGATAATGTTTGGACATTAAAGTTAAACAGGTGTGTGTGTATATTATATATATATTATACACACATATTTAGGACTTTTGTAGACTTTTTCCCAAAAACAAAAAGCTAGCTAATGACAGCAGATCAAACAAAACCTGATGCTAGTGATTCTCTTGCAGCACCATCTTCTTGTTATATAGATGGGGGGAAAAAAGGGGTATAGCCCTGAAATAGAAATCAGGAGCTTTCACTTTAGATCAGTACCCTGAGTGTACTGTAGTTTTATTCTGCTTTCTCACTGTGAACTTTGATGTCCTGTTTCTTAGTTGTTTCAGTCCTAAAGTTGTTTCAGTCCTTACACTGTGTGTGTGCGCACACACACACACAATATATATCTTCATCCAAAATGACAATAAAAAGCTTTAGGTGGAAACACACTATATGCATAGTCACATTCTCTCTAGGTCTTTCTGCTTTATACTCCTTATGAGAATTGTGCCGTTTCCTTCAGTGTGGTGCTAATCTTCTATACTGTTAACTGTTTGTCTGTGTAGCATCTTCACAAATATCACCTTCTTGAATGTGCTGCTGTCTTTTACCCCTTCTATGTTTAACCTCTGGAATAAAAACTATTCATTTGTGAAGCAACTACTGTGTGTGGGTCCCACTCTCTGTTGGCTCTGTTTGTGTGAGTGTGTAATTTTTATTTTTTAGCCTTCACATATTGTAGGTCACAACTGTTTGAGAGTAAAACCTCTCCTCTTTCATATTGAATGAGATGGTCAGTCCAAGGTATGTCAGGTAAAGGGAAGGTTCTGCTGTAGAATCATAAATATAAGCCATATATTTCTTCTTGTGGCCACTCATACATTCACATTCAGCCAAAAGCCACTTCCAAATTGTTTTTAATATATGGTTTTTGTTTACCATGAACAGGCATCCATTTATGAATGCTGTGTTACTCATGTACCACCCACTGTTTCTCCTTTCCTCTCTCTGTTCCTTGTGTTTATGTCCCTTCATCTGGTTAACAGGCATCAGCTGCCCAGACTTTCAGGCTGGTGGAACCAGTTCAGGGGGTTGGTCCAGAACGCCTTTCCCCATGCGTCCTGGGCGTGTGGGGAGAGGGTGCCGATCTCTTACAATCACTCATCACCCCGCAGAGGCCCGCGCAGAGGTTAGCGGAACCTTGTTGGCTCACTCACGGAGAGCAAATTCTCCTCAGTTCTTGTATTATCAGCTTTTTCACATACACACTTTTGGTTTGTGAAGTCTCACTGTAATGTCTCCATCTGTCACAGACTGATAAAGACTTGGGGCCTGAACACATCCTTTCCTCCATCAAATTTAGCAAGTGAGTCCAATCTTGTCTAAGTACCTCGGAGCAGTTTTTAAATCACAGGGACATTTTTAAGCAAAATAAGTCAAGAAAGGGTTGGAAATCACAAATGGAATGAAATCCTTATGGAAAACAGCGCATAATGATGAAGATCATTACAATAAAAAAGGTTGCACATCTGCATTGTCACCATGGAGCATTATATGCTATGGACATTAGCGTAATGTTTGCTATGATTTATCAATGAGTGGTGAAAACTATTAACACCTCTGTTGCCTGCCCAGGTGTGAGCTGCAGCCTCATATGAGCCGCATCCCCATCAGGAGGGTGGAGTCAACTGAAACCCCTCCTACACATGACAGTAAAACATCCCCTAGCAGCATTAACCCAGTCTCATCTGGAAATAAGGACGACTCAGCCACCATGAAGGTCTGGAAGCTGTTGAGACCTGGCCTCCATCGACACCTGTCACTGTCAGGCATGTATACACACATGTTGCTGTGCTGTTGACTCTGAAATAGAGAGTCACCTGACCAACAGTTGCATCAGTCAAAATATGATACGTGACATACCGGGTTTTTGCAAATTTGTCATCTAAAAGATGGGTTTTACATTATCTTAAAGGAAAACTGTTCTTTTCTGCACAACAAATCATTCAAGTTTTGTATTTTGTGTACGTAACGGTAATATTAATTCTGAAGAATACTTAAACTGTCTATGCCATTACTTTGACTACATTTTATTTTTACTAAGGATCGGTCCGTACACCACTTTGGACCAGACTGAAATATCTCGACAACTATTGGATAGAAGACATTTTGTACAGACATTCATGGTGCCTAGAGGGTGAATCCTTCTGAATTTGGGGATTCTCTGTGTGCCCCTAACAAGAAAAAATGTTCACTTATCCAGTGAAATATTTGTACATCCACTTGATGGATTTGCACAACATTTTCTACAGACATTCAAGATCCGCAGACGTGTCCTTCTGACTTTAGTCATCCCCAATATCTTTGGTTTTGAGAGACATATCTCAAAAGCTATTAAATGAATTGCCATGAAATATAGTATAGACATTATGTCCCCCTCAGGATGACTTGTAATCACTTTAGTCATTCCTGGAATTTGTCCATTTCTTCAGTATCTCAGCTGTACTTTGTGTTTAGTGCTATTAAGCAAATGTTAGCATGCAGTGCCTGAGTATCATCTATTTAAATGATGGCGCAACTACAACAAGCTGTGTTGTGCCTGTGACATTCCATCATGCACTTTCTAAAATGCTGCTCCCTATTTGCATACTTTTAGCACTCAATTTGGCTTCAGTATGTATTCCTATGCAAGTTTCACAGCATTACAGAAGATATAAAAGTGCTGCGTGACATTGCTTTTTGAGTTCCCTCTTTCCAGTATGTAAAATGCACATGCACACACTTAACATCACTCTTATTTCACTCCACAGCTGTGTCGGGGAAAGAGGGTAAATCACTAATGAAGAAAGGCTCAGACAAGAGTTTACACTACAAAGGAAGTACTATTATGGAAACCGCACCAGAGAAGGATGAAACTCTGCAAGAGGTGAAAACAGATACACACATTGTGTCTCTAATAGCATTAATGTACATTCAAAGAGAAATTATTTCTGTACATAAATGAATGAATGAACAAAATTACAACAACTTGACGTGGGTGTATGATGTTTTTGAAGGTTGAGGAAACTCCAGTGGTGCCTCTGCCTGAGACTGCGAACATGTGTGAGACAGTGACCCTGTGTGGAGAAGCTTAAGAACTGCTCAGAAGAGGACGCACTTGCGTAGAAGGGGAGGCGTCCTCACAGGATGATTATTTGGATTATTTATCCTAATGTGCAATAGAACTTTAACACTATTTATTTACATTTCCCAGAGCATGCATGGTGTTTCCAACCAATGCTGTTCAACATAGTCAGAGCTAGGAGCTGTCCAGCACTACCACTGAGCAGCCTTACTGGAGCAAGTGGAGTGCCTAGCTCAACGAAACCACAATGACTGAGGAAGGGGAGAGGAAAAAACTTTACAACTGACCGAGAAAACCATAGACTTGAAAGATCCTTGAACATTTCAGCTACCATCACTGACCACACATTTCCGTTTGTTATTTTAGTCCTTTCCTTCTGCTGTCCTCTCCCCTAAAAAGATATGAAATGCACTCTGACCAACACTGTTATGCACTGATGAGTATTTTCACAGTCAGCCACTTGTACTATTACAGCAAATTCAGACTGACAAACACCGCAGCACCGTTTTAACCTCCTCATTTCTATGGTGAGTTTAGAGACAAATGTGTGCGGAAAGTGTGTTTTTAATGTAATTATTCCAGAAGTTGCTTGTGCTTTGCATATAGTGGCTATAAAAATGTATTCACACCCCATTGGACTTTTTCATGGTTTGTTTTACACAGATATAAGTAGGAACAGCAAAGAAATTGAAATGTCACATTGTAAAGTAGTACTGCGCAAGTAAACAATACTTAACTGCAAGTATTGAAATCAATTTTCCACATATACATGAAGCCAGTTATAAGTGGCTTATAAACAAGTCAGTTAACACAGACCTTAAAGATGGACGTAATGGCTGTAATTGTTGCCAAAAAGAGATTGTTTTACTTTGATTTGTTTAAATGTCAAGATGTTATACCCACAGTGATTCAAAATAATTTAACATGATATGGTCCAATGAGCGGATAAATAACTTTATACACGCTATATGTATACTTTAGAAACTTTCCTCGTCACATTCCTGTAGAGCGTTTTGCTCCATAGCACACCAAAACAAGATGTCCTTTATCATCATATATTCACATTTGTCTAAGTGTAATAAGCATATCTTAAACCCAGTGACAAATGGCGACTGCTATAATACTGTGTTAGAATTTGAAACAAACTTGAAGTATAAATAAAATAACTTGAAAAACACTTGTTTGTTACGTTTTGTAATATAATAACTCAATGAGGATGTACCTGGTGTGTGAGGAGAATAAGTGAAGGAATTTATTGAAACATTTATGCAAAAGGAATTTCACACATTTTTATTAGAAAAAACACTACTGTGCAATCGTACAAAGAAATTCAAAGATGGGAATGTTGTTTCCATGGTGGTGACACCGAGTCCCATCTCACCTGTGGGGAGAAGAAGACTTTAAGCTGGTTCAGAGGAGTTAAAACCTTTGAAGGAAAAGTCATCTTTGTAGCTGGATGTGCTTCGACTTTCAAATGAGGCTGAGAGAAGTCATTAACAAACATTTATGTAGTATGGTTCCTCCACATTTTTACTGATGCTCAAGGATCAAGTGTTAACTCATCAGCCAAGTACTGAATTGGCACATCTCAACCACATCTCATGTTACCATGATGAGCTTGAATTATGTGCGTTTAGACATACGGAAGACCACATTTGCTTTCACTCATTAGTATGACATTCATTAAATAACCATAGATGGAACTATTGTACAATTCAATAATGTAGCATAGAATTAAAAACTTGGCTTGTTCGAAGTCAAAGTGGAACACGACAGAGATTGGCAACCACAAAAAAAAAAAAAGATCTTGAAAGTGCTGAGCCAATTTAGGCTAACCTAAACTGCACTCACCTCTCCGGTCATATTGGCGGACCCTACTCCTGCTTCTTGGGGTTATTGACAGCAACGTAGTGATATAACACAACCAGCAGGAACAATGACACGCCAAGCATGTTGGCAAATATTGCCAGCTGCACGTCTGTCACCATTCTGCAAAGGATGAAGAGACATTAATACAAGTGCAAGTAAGCTACTCACTCTAAATAAAAGTATGTTAGGCCGTTAGTCAAAGGCAGCTGAGGATCATACCAGTGTTTTCGCATGCTTTAGTCCATTTTACTATAAAAGGTAATATGTTTACTTAGAATCATCTCTTTCCATCTCAGTAACACACCTTTTTGGATATCTGAAAACAGTCTATGGCCCTCCGGTCACATTTAGGTCATACACAAGACTATCTACTATTCACAATAATACTAAGCATGATGGTCATGTTTAATCTTTAAATTATTGATTTTTATTGTATTGAATAAGGGCAGCAAATGGCGGAAACGCACCGGTAAAGCATCTAAAAACACCAACATAGTACTGTCTACTTTACAATACCACATAAGCTAAGTGGTAATACTATACGTGACAGAAGCAGAGACAGGTGACTTTCTGAGCACATAACGCAGACACTTAACTAGTATATTAGCTGGGTTCTGCATATGAATATTTTGTATATGAATCCGAAAATCATGGTAATTGTACCAATCACCACTGCCTCACTGATTGCATGGGTTTAAATCTGTCTGCCAAATTATGCTAAATATTAAGACTGCACCGTAAATCTGTGTGAAGTTAACCTGGCTAATGTTAGCTAACGTTAGCTAGCTAGCTTACTAGTAGAACCACCACTGGCTGAAACAACCAATATAGTGAACACTACATATGAATCTTCAAGAAAATTACAAAATTAACATATTGCAAAGTAATTTAACTAATGTTAATACTTACATTATCCCTTAAATTGGGGTTTTACTCTCGGTTTCAGCGACAGTACTTCAGCCACTCAGCAGCAAACAAGCAAATCTCTCTTCCGGCTGGAGGGGAAAGCCACGTCACGTTTGACAGCGCCATAGAAATAGTTTTAATAGAGCAGACTTCAGTGATCAGTAAACAAAATAAAGCCTAGATGCGACACCTCAATAAAAATGATCCGCATTCGTTTTCTGAAGCGGTAGCAAAACTAATTAAAATCATGCAGTTTTGGACCACTCGAGAGAATTTCGTTATGTTTTTTCCCATTCTTTATTGCCATCACCCAGACCAGAGGCGGCGGTAGTGAGCTTCTGCCAGCTGGACGTTTGCGCTCCGTAGGAGTGGCCCAAATGTTTCGACATCACCTCACCCGGCGTGAAAGAACGACAGCGGCCAAGCTAGATGGTACTTCGACTCGGCAGCTAACGTTGGGGATTTGCATTTCCAAAGGAAGTGATATCTATTTATCTCTTGTGGAGCCATACTGTACCGACATGGCTCTTTACGAATATGTCACTCAGGAGCAGCTTGCGGGCTTCGACAAATACAAGGTATGATTAATAGATTTTAATAGCCTGTTAGCAGATAGCTATTGAGCCAATAGTGTGTGTGTGTGTGTGTTTGTGTGTGTGTGTGTAACAGCTAGGTTAGCTGTCACGATCTGCAGGGTGCTTCCATGAATGTGACGTTATTATACATCCATGGGTGCTTCCCTGGCAAAAAAACAATAGGGTTATAAAGGTAGCCAGAGTTAGCTAGCTAATACCATACCAGATGCTGGTCCAATTTCCCCTAGAAAATAAAAGCGTGGCCCAATATATAGATCATTTTGCATGTGGTTAGTTACTTATAACTACAATATAATCCTGTTCGGGTTAATTTTAATGGTGTCTTGTAAAATGATGCTGCTATAGCCATAATGTTGTTGTTTATGGAGTTGTTCTCACTAACTACTGATTGGATAGCGTTCAAGTTTGGGGTCAGCAGACTGACTTTAAAAAGCACATTTGGAGGATTGATTCAATGTCTTGCTCAATGACACTTAAACAGTGGTGCTTGAACACTTCCAACGACAAAGTTGACCTTCTGCCCCCAATATAACCATTTTACACGCTATTATAAGTCTGGTGAATACAACAAAACGTATAATATATAAATGATTCAAAGATGTGTGAATGTTTAGACATAATGTAGGTGAATAGTTTTTTTTTATTTTGAAAGTGATGGCTGGAGGTCTCAATGTTTATCACGTTGGGCTTGGCATTGGCGCATAACTTTACATGCTAAGTTAATCCTTAGCTAGAGACTATTTCTCTTCTGCTGGGCTTGGCTATCAAACAAAGGCTTTACTTTGTGTGTGTTTTCACACATCTCTTGCCCACATGTCTCCTCTTGGAGCGTAGAAGGGTACTTGCTAACATTGCAAACACAGAAGAGAAAGAAAACCAAGTAACTTAGCTGCTGTAATGGATAAGTAAGGGGGAAACCACTGAAGTTCAACGGGTACACTGTACACTACATTGGAAAACGAAGAATTACAGTGAATATAGAATTGAAATGTTAAAGCAGTAACGTCCCTTATGTAAGTCACACAAACCTTTTAGTGTTAAGTTAATTCCAATAAAGATGAACAGCAATGTGGCAATACAGATATAAGGAGTCTGTTGTCTTGACACAGGCTGTGGAGGACTGTAGAAAACAGGATTTGCAGTTATTCAAGGATCTTACAGTAATTCAAACAAACCAGTTTTGATAAAGGGGATATCATTTTACTTGGGCGCTGTACATGTATTAGTTTAAGATGAGTATAGCCCACAATTCTTAGACAATTAGACTCATTTGGTATTTCCCTGGTCATGCTCTTTGTTCTTACATGACACATGCCTTGATCATTTAGTCCCTCTCTAATACCTCCTCCTTTGATTAATGCGTGGAACTGCTCCCCTGAGCTGAGAGACCATTTTCCAATAAGTGCTTTTTAAGTACCTCACTTCTTGTGTTAGCTGCTCAGCCTCAAGCATCAGTGGCTGGGGGAGAGTGGATGGATGACAAATGTGAGTGAATGAAAAGGCTGTGGCCCTATTTGACACAGTGTTTGCAAGGTGCACAGACGGAAGCATGCAAGTGGAGAGCACGTGAGAGCGAAAGATTATTCCACTGATCGTCTCGCTCGCACCTTGCTGCCTCTCGCTTCCTCGGTCACCTCGCTTGCTGTGTGGACGTAGCTTGTGTCTGTGTGAATGCATGTATGTTGTGTCTGTTCAAGATGAGAGTGATGGCTACAGTGTCTTGTTTTTGCAAATGTGACGATGATTAATCGCATTGGTTGTTCTTGTTGATTTGATGAACACAATCTGTTGACATTACGGAACATCAGCCAGTAATCTGTGATTTTTTTATTTTGCAATGTTGATAATGGATTCAATGATTAATTGTGCAATCCCAGGCAAGCTTCTGTACATATGAGAAAGAGGGTGCTAATCTGTGTCCTTGGTTGACTGTTGAAGTATTAACTGCTTAAGTATATCTACAGGAATGTTTCTTGTGGTACATTTGAACTCAAGAGCCTACTGCTCCTGCGAGAACAACACCGTTAAAAATAATTAATTAATTATACCTGTAATCACCTGAAAATACAAATCCTCGTCTTCTTCTAAGTGAACTATGAGTAAGAATGAGATCTTAAATCTAAACTAATCACAAGAAAACAGCCCTCCTCAATTGTATAAACAACAAAGAAGATATATTATGTTGTAGCACGCACACGTGGTCATCATGTCTGGATAAAGTAACAAGAAATTGGAATCAGGTTTGTTTTGATCTGCATGATGACAGGCTTGCAGCATTACCCAGTAAACATGTTATTTGTCAGGCCATAGGGCCATTTTTTTTTTTTACAAGTCATGGTTCCTTTGCAATGAGATGAAATGAATCAAATGTGACACGAAATGCAACCAAATTAGATGAACAGTTCGCTTTCGATAATGACATCCTGACTGATTAAATTGTGTCTCTTTGCAGTACAGCGCAGTGGACTCGAATCCCCTCTCTGTCTATATCATGCACCCTTTTTGGAACTTTGTGGTGAAGGTGAGAAAGACCTGTTCACCTCTGTGTGTGTCCTGTTTGCACGTTGTGTCTGCGTGTGCATGCGTGAGTACGTACATCATTGATGAGGTTTCCAACGGTATGCTGTGACACAGTAACAAGACAGCCTCACCCACCACCACCTCCTTCCTTTCCTCTGTCAGAACACATCAGTCTCTGATGGTTATAGTTTGTTCTGGTCTTTGGAGATACTGTGTTGTTTTGAATGCAGTGGTGTTAAAATGCACAGAATGTTCATTTCTAAGATACTAATACATGCAATACATATTAGAGTATGGGTGCCTTGGAAACAATATTAATGATGGAAATTATAACTCTTCCTGTGTGAAACAAAAAGTCAAATTTAGGCTACATATTTTTATATTTAATTTTATATAAGGCTATTTCTTTTCAGGTCGCATCACATCTCATATCAACTGTGCTGATTTTGATATGATTGTAGAAGTGAGCACTATTTTACAGCCACACACGAAAAAAGAAATTAAAGAAAAAGCAGGCTACTTGTTTTGCAAGATCCAGTCAAGCTGGGTTTGAGCTCACTAGAGCAAAAACAACTCAAACAGTCTAAATTCTCCAATTTCTAGCTTAAGTACTTCAGCATCAAGGGAGCATTTTGTTTTGGGCGGATATGAAGCAGATGGTTACCTGAGCGATCTAAGAAAATACCCAAATATGTTTATCAAAGGTTTTATGGCCAGGGTGCAAACTGTTAATGACAAAAACAAAAACCGATGTCTGATTATTTTGTTTTAAAACCAAAACAGAAAAACTAAGAACAAACCATACACGGATTAATTTTATTCACTTGAATCACATAAGGAATTGATTTTTTATTAAGATGTTTATTTTGTTGAGGAAAAAGGACTGAAAAAAGCTTTACTTAATTTTACTCATGCATATTTTTTGAAAAAGATTTTATCATAATTGTTTTGAATGTTCTACCTCATATTTGTGAAGTGATCCACTGTTTGGAATCAAGTGTTTTGTCACAACAGTAAAAAGAACGGCTCTCATCAAGTACGACTCCGTTCCCTTCGTTCGTACCAAAGAGCCGTTGAAAAGAACAGGCTCGTTCGCGAACATAACATCACTAAACAATATGTTACGGCACATTTATCTTCTTATCTGTATCAAGCCTTTTATTTTTTCCATTAATCTCTGCTTAACTGCAACCTGATATTCATTTGTACAAAATTCACATCCCTTTCCCTAAACACCGTCTATAAAGTGTGACAACAGTAATTACTGTCTAGTTATTTAATCATTGTCAAAAGTTTGCTGAAAAGAAAAGTGACATGTAGATTAACTGTCACTCACTATCTTTTTGTCTCTGTCTATCTCTTTCTCAACAGTTTCTACCAACATGGTTAGCTCCAAACCTCATTACATTTACAGGCTTTATGTTCCTTGTGTTGAATTTCCTTATGTTGGCCTTCTTCGACTTTGACTTCACTGCCTCTGGTAGGTCCTCTGCGCACTTATTTTTCCCTTGTTGCTAGTCGTGTTTGTGTTTGTTTATGAAAGACGAAGTCCACCGACTCGCTGAAACATGACTGCCCATGGTGGCTCAGGGTAATCACTAACCCATCACACACACACACACACACACACACACACACGCACAAAGCTACTACTGTGACCATGTACAACAGTATCTCTAGGACATAAACAAAGATTGACGCACATCTGTAAAGATACTGTGCCCCATCATGTCTCTTATGTCATATACCGTATCTCACAAAAGTGTGTACACCCTGACATATTTGATTATATCTTTTCACGTGACATAACTGAAGAAATGACACTTTGCTACAATGTCAAGTAGTGAGATACTGTAACTACTCACGTTTTGCACACATAACTACACATACACACACAAAGTGCATTAAACAGGCAGACATGACACTTACTCTAAACTTCTATAGTCACTACAGAGACGAGTGAAAATGTCCTCACCAGAATATTTGCTGTCAGGGGTCAGCCTTTATTAGAATAGCTAAACCAAATTATGCACACGTTTTAAGGGTTGGCCTCAAAATGTGCTCTTTTGCAGTTCTTATTCCATACAGTTGCTCTTGCGTTCCCTTCCATTTTAGATTAGATATGTTTTAACCAACCCCTGAGGTAATTTAAGTAAAGTGAAAATTAATTTGGCTGATCAGTGGTTCTCCATTTTTCTCTGTTTCTGCGTGGTGTGCTGCATATTTACATTATTTGTGTCTCAGGTGCAGCACATCAACACGTGCCTAGTTGGGTCTGGGTTGCTGCAGGGATCTTCAACTTCTTGGCCTATACACTCGGTGAGTCCTAACCCCTGTGTGTTGTTTTTCGCTGACTTTTTGAGAGGCTCGGGGGAGAGTCTTCCCAGTGGAATGTATTCTTCACAGCAACTATGAGACTCTTAATCATGACCAGTATAGGGCGACATGTACTAGTGAAAATGAAATGCCTAAAACATATCGCACCTGATATCTTGGAGGTTTGGATGTGTTTAATTTTGTTTCATCATATTCTCCTTAGATAAACAAGGTACTTTGTGTTGTGTGTTGAAATGTGATTGCAGTGTTTGTGAGGGATATAAAACAAGTAACAACCGATACCAATATCAAAGGATTGCCACATTATCGATCAGTAGGATTATCATTTGAATATACTGGCCTGCTAGGAGATTTTGTAGTGAAGAAACTGAAATAAATATTTGAATCAACACTTTTCATGTGGAAAAGAATACACTGAAACATAGACAGCACGATTAAGATTGAGCTTTAAAAAGAAACATAACTTACATTGTGTGGTTTCACTTTTAGTAGTAGGTTTTGGTGTAGTAATCACAAAACTTAAAACAAAAAATTCAGATTATTAAATGTCCTGATAACAGTGTGGTTGCCAGGCAAGCAATCAAAAACAAAGGCCACCTGAAGTGTATCACACAGGAAACAAGGTAGGAGAAGCAGGCCATAAAATGTGGGTGGGGAAATTATTGATAGACTCTGCCTTCTTTTAACAACTGCTGTTTAATTAAGTGCCCTCAAGAAAAGATAATTCAAGATGTTCATGTGGGATATGATAACAGCATTCATAGCATCCTTAAACACCTATTACGATCAACATGGATACACAAAATTATTGTACACAATCAGTATTTACTCCAACCTACTCGTTTATGAAGCCTGCGTTGTAGACTGGTCAGCTGAGTAGTTTACAGTTCACATACATTGGGCGCTGCAGTTTTAATTTGTTAAAACTTCCCTGATCAGTATTTTTGTAGGGGATATGATGAATTTTGGTGGAGAGCAAAACAGAGCCAAAGAAGAGAGAATATTGCACTTAAGTTCATCAGGTACTTTTAAGTCCCCGGATCTCTTTTCAAGGAACTAAAAGGTTCCTTCAGCCCACTATTGTGTGTGTTTCCACCGTGGTCTAAAGATCTGCGAAGATTAGGCAAATTAACCAGCTGACATAGGCCGTTGGCCCTCGCCTGACAAAGTGATGCACAGGCAGGCAGGCGACAGTTTGGATGGTTATTACAACATTTCCAGCCGACAAGAGTTGAAGACCAGCTGCAGCACTCAAGTCTGTGTCGCCTGAGCGTCGAAGGAACGGGATTTTAACAAGCTTTATTACCTGTTGTAATCAGAAAGAGGAGACCGATTTCGGCTCTGTGTAAAAACCTTCTGACTGATGAAAACTTAAAACAGCAATTCCGGTCCCAGTATTTAGCTTAACCCCATCAGCTGTTTGCTGTAAACACACTACTGCAACTGGCTGCCATTTCCAAGCATTAGGCCTACATTTAATGTTGATGTCAGGCGGACATCAGCGAGACTTGTGTTGTTATCTGACTGTTGATAGTGATTTATTGGTTTGGAATGGAATGGTGGTGTTGGAATGGTGGAAAAGAGAGGAGCAGTCTAGAAAATCACCTGACTGCAAGGCAAGCCCCCCCCCCCCGCTTCATGTCTGCTGGATGTTTAAATACTCACAATAGTCAACTATTTGCTGACATGTTCATATCAACTGTATAAGGTGATAATGTGTCAATATAGTGTTTTTTTAGCTTGTTCCGCTGCTCCCAAGTGGCCGAACAACTCAGATTGAAGCGGTTTTAATTGTATGTGAAGTGGAGATGCTCCAAGTCAGATAAAAAAAGGACGTTTGACTTAAAGGTTAAATGTTTACCATTTGGTGCGATCATCCAAGGCATTTAAAGGAGAATTTAATTAGCAAGATACTTAATCCCCACCCCAATCCAGTATGCTCTGTGAACCAGACTAAAGCCAGTTTCAGATCTTGCTAATGACTTTGTGAATCATTGAAATAAAACAACTTTCCCTATGGCGTTTCTTATAAGAAAGAGAATTCTTCAACTTCACTGTGTGGAAGAAATGATCAGTTGCTGTGACAGTCAATTCAGTCGTGGGAAGCAGTAATGTGGCTGTTTGTACAGGTGAAGTAGGAATGGGAGATGTAAAAAAAAGAATATCACTTTGTGATTCCTATATAAATGTCCACATAAACATGGATTGTATGTAATGATCCCTGTCTTTTTTTTTTTTTTTTTTTTGTTATGTGTAGATGGTGTTGATGGGAAACAGGCTCGTCGCACCAACTCCTCCACGCCACTAGGGGAGCTGTTTGACCACGGCCTGGACAGTTGGGCCTGCATCTTCTTTGTCGCTACCGTCTACTCCATATTCGGGCGTGGTGAAAGCGGTGTGGGCGTAGCCACACTGTATTACATCCTGTGGGTGGTGCTGTTCTCATTCATTCTATCTCACTGGGAGAAATATAACACTGGCATCTTGTTTCTGCCCTGGGGATACGACATCAGCCAAGTGGTAAGAACGCATACAAACGCGCATAAAACCTGGATTCTTATTTCTAACCAACAGCCATTGATTTTATCAGCTTCATGAGTTGGTTGAAAATGGTTTTTCAACGCAAACTTTGGTTTTAATGTTTCTAGCTGAACTCTGTAAAAGGTACCGCAATTTTGCACTTGCTTACGTACAGCTAAATACGGCTAAAGCTGCATGTCAGTTAGCATCCCTCACCACTTGAAGATCCATGAAGAAGACATGAAAAGAAAGAAACATCTACTTGTATCATAATGTAGAGTTAGTTGGCTCTAGTATTTTAGTGTAATACGCAAAAATACAGTTTTCACGCTTAAAAAAAAGTTAGTTTGTAGTAACACTACTGTTTAGCTGCTCAGCTTACATATTTGGACAAGCAAGACAGGCATTGAATTTACGCTTTATTGCTTGTCATTTCAAACAGTATGTTTCACTTTTAAGGTAACAGAAAGGAGAAAAGGCTCTTAGGATGATGACTAACCCCTGTATTTAGCGAATGGAACACTATCTTAAGTTTGAATGAGGTTGCTGGAATATAAACTTTGTCAAATCAAATAAAAAGCAGGACTGAGCAACTAACGTTAGCCTACTCAGCTATAGTAGCATCCAGGACTGGCTCCCATACAGTGGGAGAATACTGAGAGATACTGGGAGAGGATGTGCTAGTCGTGAACAGGGTGTTAATGAACATAACCTGTAACCCCATAGAATAATGTGGCCTTGGCCTTGAAAATAACGCTTGGTTGCTACTGTAGGTTTCAACAATCACTGTCTGGGGGGAGGGGGTTAGCCAATGGTCGCCACCATGACACACGAGCCTTTTAATGACTTGATGCCTTGGGTCTCATCTCCTTCCAGACCATCTCTCTCATATTCTTGGTCACTGCCGTGGTCGGCGTGGAAACATGGTACCAGCCAATCCTGTGGCAATTCCTCTATAGAGACCTTTTCACCTTTATGATCATTGGTGAGCTGTGATTGGTCACTCTGAATACATTCATTCACTAGCTGAAGCAGCTACAATAATGCGTGTCTTTTGTTTCCCAGCCTGTTCCTTCACTGTGACCTTACCCATGAGCCTCTACAACGTCCTGAAGTAAGTCAACTTTTCATTAGTTTTTTATTATATTGTAGTATTGTTATTTCACACAGTGCTCTGAACTCTTCAACCTCTGTGGTTTTGCAGAGCTCATCGCAGTAACACTCTGAAGCACAGCAGCCTGTACGAAGCCTTCCTGCCCTTTCTTTCTCCCGTCCTCCTTTTTGTCTTGTCCACCACTTGGGTGGTCTTTTCTCCATCCAACATCCTCGAGCTGCAGCCCAGGATCTTCTACCTCATGGTGGGGACAGCCTTCGCTAACGTCACGGTGAGTGCCTGCTGATTTTTCACACGTTTCTTTTTGGGTTTTTTTAAAGGTGCACATACTTTCATCACCCACTATATATATCTATAGATATATAGATATAGATGTGTGAATATATAAAATCTGTATTCAGGTGATAATGTAGGTTTATTCATGCATGAATGTCTGTATTTATCTTGCAGTGTAAGCTGATTGTGTGTCAGATGAGTAACACACGTTGTCAGGCGCTGAGCTGGCTGTTGCTGCCCATGACACCAGTGGTGATGTTAGCGGTGACCGGGGTGTTCAACGAGACCCTTCTGCTGTATCTGTGGACTTCTGCTGTCATACTAGCACACATACACTATGGTGTATCAGTGGTAAGAGCAGCCGGTTAGCTTAGCTTAGCATGAAGACTTGAAACCGGGAAATAGCAAGCCTGGCTCTGTCGAACGGTACCAAAATCCACCTACCTGCTCCTCTTAAGCTCAATAATGAACACGCTATGTTTTGTTGTTTAATTCAGTTCAAAGGCTGTCAATTTGCTGTTTTACAGGGGGTTATGTGTTGCACTATTTCTTTGCTCTGTGTAATAATTTACTGGAATCTCTGCCAGTTGCTTGGCCAGATACAGTATCTCACAAAGGTGAGCACACTGCTCACATTTTAGTAAATATTTGATTATCATTTCATGTGACAACACTGAAGAAATTACACTTTACTACAATGTAAAGTGGTGAGTGTTCAGCTTGTATAACAGTGTAAATTTGCTGTCCTCTCAAAATAATCACGCAGCCATTAATGTATAAACCGCTGGCAACAAAAGCGAGTACACCCCTAAGTGAAAATGTCCAAATTGGGCCCAAAGTGTCAATATTTTGTGTGGCCACTAGGGCTGAACAATTTGTAAAAAAAAATTGATTTGCGATTATTAAAAAAAGTTCAGCTAAAGTTCAACATTCACTGCTTTACATTGTAGCAAAGTGTAGTTTCTTCAGTGTGGTCTCATGAAAAGACATAATCAAATATTTACAAAAATGTGAGGGGTGTACTCACTTTTGTGAGATACTGTACAGTTAGAGCCAGGCAAGCAGTTTCCTTGTTTCCAGTCTTTGTGCTAAGCTTAGCTAAGCTGGCTGCTAGTTGTAGCCTTATATACTGAACATAATTCTAAACGCAACACTTTTGTTTTTGCCCCCATTCATCATGAGCTGAACTCAAAGATCTAAGACTTTCTCTGTGTTTACAAAAGGCCTGTTTCTCTCAAAGGCACAGGTGTGCCTTAGGCTGGCCACAATAAAAGGCAACTCGAAAATGTGCAGTTTCACTGTAATAGTGGGGTCTGGAAACCAGTCAGTATCTGGTGTGACCACCATTTGCCTCACGCAGTGTAACACATCTCCTTTGCATAGAGTTGATCAGGCTGTTGATTGTGGCCTGTGGAATGTTGGTCCACTCCTCTTCAATGGCTGTGCGAAGTTGCAGTCAGGTCAAGACCCCGATGAGGACGACGAGCATGCAGATGAGCTTCCCTGAAACGGTTCCTGACAGTTTGTGCAGAAACTCTTTGGTTATTGTTGCAGCAGCTGTCCGGGTGGCTGGTCTCAGATGATCTTGGAGGTGAAGATGCTGTGGAGGTTCTGGGCTGGTGTGGTTACACATGGTCTGCGGTTGTGAGGCCGGTTGGATGTACTGCCAAATTCTCTGAAACGCCTTTGGAGACGGCTTATGGTAGAGAAATGAACATTCAATTCACAGGCAACAGCTCTGATGGACATTCCTGCAGTCAGCATGTCAATTGCACGCTCCCTCAAAATTTGTGACATCTGTGGCATTGTGCTGTGTGATGGAACTGCACATTTTCGAGTGGCCTTTTATTGTGGCCAGCCTAAGGCACACCTGTGCCTTTGAGAGAAATAGGCCTTTTGCGTACATAGAGAAAGTCTTAGATCTTTGAGTTCAGTTCATGATGAATGGGGGCAAAAACAAAAATGTTGCATTTATAATTTTGTTCAGTGTATTTAACGGTGTATTTTACAAAATGTCAAACTAGGGGGGCAGTCCTCAACGTATTTTGAGCTGTTTTCTCATGGCTTGTTGTCCTGTTTCTAACCAGATCAGTAACTATTTTAATGCACTGGACTTCAGATTGTCGTGGTACCTTGGTCTTGTGCTGCTAAATGTTGGAAATTAAATTTTTTTTTTTAACTGAATCCGGACATGGATTTGAATGTGGTACAAAATAATGTTTTTTTTTTTCCATTGCTAGGTACAACAGCTCAGTGGCCACTTCAATATCCTCGCCTTCTCCCTGAAGAAGTCCAACAGTGACTGACAGGAGGAGGAACGAATCGGCTTGAAAGAAGCGGAGGTTTAGGCTCCTCCCCTCCTTGGCTTATCGACACTTCACTCTCATCACCACGGAAACCACATCCCCTCCTCTCCATCCATGAGGACACTGCAAGTGGAATGGATTGTGGCCCTTTGTTCCACTGTCCCCAAACACACGCACACAACACACACGTGCGCACACACGTTCCCAACCAACCAAACTTTGGTCTCGGCGACGGGACGGGCCCAGGGGCTGTGGCTTCCGTCATTGGTTGAGCCAATGAGGTGCAATTGTTTCCTACGGAAATGTGCTTCAGTCATGAGGACAGGAGCCATACGAACACACACACACACACACACACACAATGTACATACATTATTCTGCTTTCGTGCAGACAATTTATATCTCGTGGCCGGTATTTCAAATACAAACGCAGCCACAACTCCAAAACACACACAAACAGTTGCGCTCACATAGTATTATGAATGTATGATATGCCTTGGGGAAATGCCATTTAAGTTTTAATTATATTAACAGGAATGCCTCGAGTAGTGTTTAAAACTTGACCAAACCACTAAATTCTGACCACATGTAGCTCATACATCCACAACTGTGTCCAGAGTTTAAAGGTTCAGTCACATTTTTATCATGAGATGATTTTCAGTTGGATATTACAGTGATGTATGTATATATATATATATATATATATATATATATATATATATATATATAAAAATAAATAATGTGTTAAGGGGTTTGGGGCATTTTATTTTCTAACTAAAACGAAACTGAAAGAAATTATGATTACTTCTGTAAAAAAAAATTGTATAAATTTCCCTCTAATTAATTCCTACTCTGTGGTGACAGTTGTCATGAGTAAACAGAGTAGGATTTTGACTAACCAGGGCAAGAATTGACCAGGGTGACCTCTGATCTTTTTTGAACTCCACTAACCCTCCACTGAATTCTGTCTGAGCACTGGCCTCCCGGCTCTCCCTTCGTTTTGAGGTGTCGTGTCTTCATGCTGATTCGTTCCGTTAAATTTTTTTTTAATTTTTTAAAAAATTTTTACATTTGTTTTATACATATAATTGGTATTCTTTTGTCTGTTGCCGTGGCAATGGTTTGTGGTGTAGTTGCCCAGCGCTTGAATGAAGAGTGCGTTCAAAAACCGTTAACGGAGCGGACTCACTCTGAGGGAACAAGCCGTCGCACAGGACACCGCAAACTCCACAACACAGCCTGGCGTCACACTCTCCTGCTCCCACACACACATTATTACACCCTTTATACTGTCTGTCAGATCATGTCTGTATCGTTGCGGGTTTTTTTCACTCTGTTTAACACTGTTCCTCTGCGTGTTTCAATTCAATGTTTCCATGGCTAAGATGGATATTTTTCACTGCCCGGACAGTTAAGGTTTACTTCTCATCTGTGTCACCTCATCACAAAAATCTCTCTTTTTCTTCTTGTTACAACATAGACAGTTTGCCACTGTGGTTGTAGTTTGGAGGAAATGTGCTCTTTGTGTGTAACCTGACCCTTTGGAATTCTTTTCAGCCTTGCTATTGAAAAATGATTAGTCTTGTCCATCTGCAAGGACTTTGCCCTATTTCATGTCTGCAGAACAACAATTGTTGAGAGAGCCTCGTACTTGCCTTGTATAGCGCAGGTTCAACTGAGAGTTATTCATCAGTTATTTGACTGAACATGAAGTCTGAATGTGTCACGATAATTATCTCATATACAGTAGATTGCTGAAAAATGAGTGTGACGATACTTTATGATTAAAAAGGTACATGGGGAAACGGATACACTGGCAATGAAAAACAGAAATATACTCGGATCTTTGTGGATCATTTTTACCACTTGTCCATATATTTTGTACATAAACTGTTATTGAGCAACACTGGACATTTAGACCACGGCCTTGTACTGTCCCTGTAGTACTATCGTGACTGGGAGAAACAATCTAACTCTACTGCCATAATACCCAGTAAAGTAGCCCATGTTGGTTTGCAGTACCTCTGCACTGAAACTGGGGAAAGCTTGTATGCAGTCATAAGCACATTATTATAGTTGAAATTTGATTTGAGACGTTAATAATATAGCCCCATATTTGTAACTTTGGAGACCATAGATTGTAGTTATGTGAGAGCAACTGTGACTGAGATTTTGCCACCGTAACAGTGAACTGTTTTTCTGGTGGGTACCTGCACTGGCTGGGTATGTGCAGAGCCATGTGTACAAGTCCGTTAATGTGTGGTTGTATAGTCTATGTGTGGATAAATGTGTAAATACATGTATTGTTTCTTCATTTTTATTTTATTTTATTGAAACTCTCCAAACATGGGGGAGGTAGGAACTTGTAGACCAGGGGATGATTCCAATCAGCATTGTTTTTATTGTCAGCTCCAAACCCTGCAAAGCTACAAATCTGTACAGCATTTCTTAGATCTGGTAACAAATTTATTTAACAATTCTCATCTCTGCTGCTCTATTGGCTGATTGGATCTGGTCTTCTTTTTCATGGGATAGTTTGGAGAGGGGTGGACTCTGGGTGTGAAGGCCTCCACCCCAGGCTGCAAACACTACCAACAATGCTAAATGCAGCCAGGGATTTCATATCACATTCGTAGAAACAGGTTCGCTGGGTAAGAAAATGTGTGCCATTCAGTGAAACGAACAAACATCAAGCAGGAATATCGGATTAAAATGGGTGAAGTTCTCATCCAGTGGACAGGTGTATTTGTTGATTTCTTAAGGATAAAGCAAACTCTTTCTGAGCTAATTTTCTGGGTATATTTTGTAGTGTGCGCCTCAGCTTCACTCCCCAATGTTTTGGGGAAAATAGTCTTAATCCCCCCTGGATCAATGAACCAAGTTGTTCAAATTGTGACTAAGTTGTTGTGTAATGCTGCCCTGGCAAACACCCCAGGGCTTCAGTGTGGCTACTTGTGATGTTGTATTTAACCAGTGAAAGAAAGGAATGTCCAGAAACAAATAAAAGTGAATTTTCTTTAACCACTTTGCTGTGTCACAGCCAGAAACTTTAACTTTTTATGAGCTACAGTTCCTTTAATATCCGCTAGGTGCCGGCAGAGAGCAACTTTGAGCCTTATGTACTCAATCCTTGATCCCTGATAACTCAATTGCATGGCAGGTAATAATATTTCTTCACTGTAAACGCTGTAAACCTGTTCCATGGTTGTAACAGGCTATTCCCAGAGACATCCTTTATCAGAATCAGAAGGAGCTTTATTGCCAAATAGTGTTTTACACATAAGAGGAATTTGCTTTGTTGATAAGGTGCTACGCATAGACAAACATACAGTTGACATAAATAAATGTAGAAATATATAAATATGGAATGGACAATGCAAGTTATATAAGAATAATAAAAAGAATAGAGAAAAATAATACAACTTTTTGCAGAGAAATAACAATGTCACAGATATTTACATAGCATTATTCTGTGTTTGTGTTGTGCAGATGTATTGCAACAGAAGAGAATATTGTGTACATAAATATGTAAATTGACAATATAAAAATATACAACAACAAAGATTAACAACAATGTGCAATGTGCCAGGTTTGTGCATGATATGAAATGAAAGTGTTTACATGTGCAGAGACATTTGTATCATTTGCAAGAGGGGGGGGGGGTCAGTGGGTGACCCGGGCCTTGGTGATGAGGCTAGCTGCAGACGGGAAGAAGCTGCTTTTGTGGTGAGAGGTTTGGTCCTGATTGACCGCAGCCTCCTGCCAGAGGGGAGAGTCTGAAACAGTTTGTGACTGGGATAGGATAGGTCAGCTGCAATCTTTCCTGGTCGCCTCAGAGTCCTGGAGGCGTAAAGGTCCTGAAGTGATGGAAGATTGCAGCCTGCATCACCTTCTCTGCCCTTGTCCCTGGCAGTGGCAGCAGCGTACCAGATGGTGATAGAGGAGGTGAGGATGGACTCGAGGATGGCGGTGTAGAAGTGCACCATCATTGTCTTTGGCAGGCTGAACTTCTTCAGCGGCCGCAGGAAGTACATCCTCTGCTGGGCCTTTTGGTGAGGGAGGTGAGGTTCAGCTTCCACTTGAAGTCCTGGGAGATGATGCAAGGGGTCCACAGTGGTGACCAGGGAGTCACACAGGATGATGGGGGAGGGCATTCAAAGGACTTCATAACCACAGAGGTCAGGACGACGGGTCGGAAGTCGGGTATTATTAAGTGGTATGTATCAATGAGTTTTTCTCTATTGCTTACACACATCTCTTACAAAAAGCCCCGTGTTTGCAACTGCGTTACCAGGGTTTACGCCTCCCACTTGAAGTGAATGTAAGACCACATGCTCTAAACACAGCACTCAATAAATGAAAAAAAGCCTTCAGCCGGAAGTTTTCCCCTAATGGCTCCTTCATAGACAGTTCAGCAACCACTTCCCAGTTCAATCTTGATCTCTGAAGCTGACTTCTGGTCAAGTTAAAACTGTTACATTCAACTTCTTTCGCTTCCATCACACCAGCTGTGCAGTCATGTAAAATCCTCCCCTCAGTGACACCAGGAAAGGTCAAATCTGCTGCTGGCCCCATTATTGCTTGTTGGGTGCATACTACTGTATAACTATAGAAAGCACACATCAGAATACTACAAATCAATATGATTTACAAGTAAGTTGGATTTCAGACTTGTGGTTTTGCTGCAGTCCACTTACATGTTTGCAGACACTTGCACATCACTGTGGTATTTCTGTTACGAGAGTTTCACAGATTTTTTTCCCCCTGAGAGAGCATGTAGGCCTATATAAGAAAAGTGATGCTTTGTGTTCACTCTTTGGTAAATGCCTTTGAGTTTTGCAGTGAGAGTGCAATGGATAAAATGCGCTGTCCAGAGAGGGAGAGAGCTGAGACATTACAGGTATGTAATTTGAGAATTGTACCCACATATGAGGGTAAGTAATTGACTAATATCGAAAACAACCTGCACTACATAGAGCCTTCAGCAGATGGAGCTGCAGAACAGCAGTAGCCTTCATGTCTGTTGACGGTCGAAGCAGGGTTGAGAGCGGCGAGTGATTGACCTTTCTGCACCTCTAAAACAACAGGTAATACAACAGTTATTTTATAGTCTTCTTCACAGTGTGAACAACACGTGTGCTTAACACCCCTGAGTCATGTGGCTCTTCTTTCTGTTACAGGCGTGATTCGTTATTGATTGTCTCCTCGCCCGCAAGTTTGTCCGGCAGCAAAAGCTTGTAAGCCTGTGTTCGTTTTTCTCCTCTTCGCATCCACAGCAACCCTTTAACCCCCACGCTCGGGAGGCGGGTGTTTCCTCGGAGCAAATGAAAGCTTTTCAAACGATAGAGTTTTCCTTTTATAATGGCTTGTATATCATTGAGTCAGTTAGGTTTCAACGTGGCGGCCCGGCATGTCTGTCTTGGATCGGTCCTCTATTGTGAAAGTGTAGGTGGTGAGTTCTGCCTGTCAAAACAGCTGGCAGGCGATCAGGACGGTCGCTTATCTTGACGGGATCATTTTCATCCAGAAATATGACTCTCGTCAAGCAATGATTCATCCAAACAATGTGCCGTGAGCAAGCCACAGGTTTGCACGTCCCTTAAATCAGCCGGCTCATTGTGTGGGAGCAGCCGAATGCAGCGGGGTTAGAAGTGTTTTCTTGGTCTTAAACTCACCATGCAATAAATGTAGGTTCGTTTTCTTTTTTCTTTTTTTTTTTTTAGCACTATGGTTTCTCTCGCCCCACTGTTCTTTCTGCACTGAAGGGACCTTACTCCAAGAGTTTCCTGAATTTACATGCATATGCTGAATTGTCAAACAAGTTTCTAATTATGACATTGAATATATTTATTTCATGAATTTGTTTAATGTTTTTATCTTCAAAGGAATAGGCTACTCAACCAAAAGTCAGTGTTCGTAGTCTCCGCCTGAAGGCTTGACATCCCCATGAAAAGTTTGTAACTTTCTCCCTCACTGATGACCACAGCTGTCAAAGTCTATAGAAACCACTCAAACAAATCCTGCAGCATGTCAGCCATATCCTGTCAAAGTTCTGCTTCTCTGCAAAGGAGACACACATTGGTGCAGAATTCCTTTAAAAAGTTAGAACAACTTTCTATTAAGTCAACTTTTATAGGATTTAGAAGTTGTAGCTTGTGATGTTGTTAATGGTTTTTAAATCAATTACAAATGCTTTATAGATGAGCAGTATCGAAAAGCAAAATTTCTATGCACTTTGGAAGTAAAGGAAGGACTAAGCTAAACTAGTCTCCTCAGGCAGATTTTTCCATAGTCTATAAACCAATGACTTATGAACATTAATCATTTAAGGTGACTTACTAAATTTAGCTTTAATATTGAATTTTGTCACATCTAACTGCAGTATTTATGTTATTACCCTTAATAAATCACTTATTACCCCTCCAAATGAGAAACTATGTTAGAAACATGAGCATTTACTAATAACTCAAATATGATTCATCAGCATAAGCATGTTGTTATTAATGGCTAATAACTGATCTTTAAAGTATTGGTAAAAGATGTGTGAACCCAGCTTGTGATAAAGTGATCCCAAAAATTTTTAACAGGCAATGTTGGGCTAATTCCAGTCATAGAATTAAAACGCCGCTCCCATGGCACTGAAGGATGGCAATTCACGTGACTATCAATAGGATTGTCCCACTTTTTCTACACAAGACCAGCACAATCAAAAAGGAGACTTATGCCATCAACATCTTTTAGCAAGATGTTATAGTCACCAAAAAATTCTACATATGCTAGTGTTAATTGTGTGTTAAAATCAAGGCTCAGTAACTCAGTTGTAAGGACCTTTTCCTCAAATTCGTTCAGTGATTTGATAGAAAATCTAGCTTTCACTGCCTAGATAATCACCCAATTTTCTGATACCTTCTTTTTGACCCTGCTGTGGAGGTAGAGGTCCCATATGTTGAGGTTAAAGTGACACAGTGTCCCTCTGGTCGGGGTGTATTTTAGTGAATTAGCTGGTGTTAATGCTGAACTGACAGTTAATAAGACGTGGCATCAATTAAATAGCATTCGGCTCGGGTTGCTGCTCTGCGACGCTGGACGTTTTGTGCGCCGCTGACCCCCATGACTCATGCACGCACGCACGCACGCACACACACACACACACACACACACACACACTGTCATGACGGGCAGCTGGAGCCTACTAAACCACTGCGCCACCCGGGACTGCTCCCCCTGTGAGGTGACACTCAATTATGGATGACCATCATTAGAAACCAGACACGCCAGGACACAGGCTTGCCCAGCCTGACACACACGCACTGTGATGGGCATGGCGATTATTCTCAGAGACACCTAAGACTATTGAAGTGCTAATGGAGTAACACCATCCATTTCATTCCATAACCACTGCACCTGTAACCCCTGTGGCCTCCAGGTGACCACCGTTATACATTGTCCATATCAGTATTATTATTAGAAAATTAAGATCTAGTTCAAATTATGATATTATGCTAAACTAGCTACATTTCATTCATTTGCATTTTTACTTTGGTTTTTCTGGTTTATCATACAATAATGCTGGGGTTTTCCTAGTCATTGTATCTGGAAGTTGATGTTGGGGGCAGCTGCATGTTCATCCTTTTGTTTCGGCTCTTAATCCTGCATTTGTTCTATGAGAAAGCAAACACAAAGGACACATCTCTCATCAGTCATTAACACAGGGATTAAGCTGCAATATATCAAATGATGGCATAGATGGTCATACATCCACAACGTGTACACACACATCTTATGAAGGTTTCAGCTTTCAGACTGGAATCTGGGTATGTTAGTTTTCAGCATGTTCATCATTATTGTTGATAGCAGGGTGGCTTTTGGGACCACTACTTTGGTCCAGACTGAAATATCTCAAAAGATATTGTACATATTGCCATGAAATTCTGTACAGACGTATCTGCCTTCCTTAGAATTCATTGTCTTTGGCAATGCCTCAACTTTTCAGCTCACACCATCAGCATCAACACCGTCAAAGTT